CACATTCTTCCTCAGCAAATTGAGTTTCCCAATTTTCAAGGAATTGGAGATGTTTAAATTTTCTTTTCTTTTTTTTTTAGCCCTTCTTGTTCATGTTGGCTTAGAAGTTGGGAGTGAAAGTTCATTCTTGACTCTTGACAAAATATTCTCACTGGTATTAATCTTGTTGACCAATTAAATCTGTTTTAATTAACACATGTAAACATTGTCCTCAGCACTCAAAAAATGGAAATTTGAACATCTACAAGTCCATGAAAGCTGGGCAAAATCTGTTCACTAGAGGAAGATGATGTAATAACTTTCTGTCTCAATCTATCATTAATATCTCTGTAACAGGTCGTCATCCTGGATGTACGTGTACCTTGCACACCAGTGGCTCGGCTGAACAACCATCGCGCCTGTGTTAATGGCATCGCCTGGGCCCCCCACTCCTCATGTCACATCTGCACTGCAGGTAAGGAGATGTTCAGACCGACAGCAAGAGGCTGCGTTGGTGGGGGGCATGTTGCTTTAGGTGCTGGACCGGTGAGATGTAAAATACAATCCAGGAAGTCCAGGTGGACCATCAGATGAATGAGTCCATCAACCTGGAATGTTGATTGTATGTATTTCATTGGCAAATGCAGCACGAATCTAACACCTTTTCCAATGAGTATTGCCAGATCTATGTGATAATAAAATGACAGTGTGGCAAAAGTTGAGTCAAACTATTTGCCAGACAAGCCTACATTTTCTGCTGCATCCATCCGTGTGACACCTCCTCTGTGTCAGCAGATCGGCCTCATTCAAATGATTGAGAAAGCTGATTGTTTTTTTCCCCCAGAGGTCTGAAGTAAAGGCAGGCATTTCCATGTCTGATGAACTGTTTTTCCCACGTTACCTGCTCCTCCATTCTCAAATATTTCTCGTAACGGTCACTGTGTGTCTCTGTGTCTTTTTCCCCCTCAGCCGACGACCACCAGGCGCTGATATGGGACATCCAGCAGATGCCACGGGCCATTGAAGATCCCATCCTGGCCTACACCGCTGAAGGGGAGATTAACAATGTGCAGTGGGCGTCCACACAGCCGGACTGGATCGCCATCTGCTACAATAACTGCCTGGAGATCCTGCGTGTCTAAAGCTATGGACACTTGGATGAAGAGGAGAAGGAGTGTTGTTGTTTCAGATTTGGACTTAATTTTTTTCCCCCTCATCCCACTGCTTTCAAGACGAGGATGAGGTCACGAGTGAACTGTCTGAACGTGTTTGGAGTATCACACACACCTACTCCACAATAACCTGGTTTACATTTTCTTCCATGTCTTTACTCCATTCTTCTTCTTCTATTAAACGTGTTTCAGCTCTTATTTATTTTGCTCACAAGGTAGTGTTCATCTGCACAGCAGCTATAGGAAGCTTCGAACTCTGAGCTGTTGTCTTTGAAAATCAGATTTTTATACTTGGTGTGATTTCAGCCAGATGTGAGATTATCATGAAGGGTTTAGGTGTTTCATCTGTTTGATTTGTAAAGGTTGATACAAACTGCTTTAGGTGGCAGACGATGACCTCTCTGATATGTCAGAATTTGTCGTAGCCTTCTTGTGGACTCATACCATATTATTGCTGATTGAAAGATCAGTATATTACAGTCTTGTTTACTCCTGTGGCAATTTGAATTTTTAAATGGGTGTGTGTCCAGTTTCCTCTCTCCAAATAATTGTATTCAGGCTCAAAATGTGACCTGTGCAACTTTTAAAAATTGTAAAATAACCTGAGAGGGCTTCATATCGTCACTGCTGTGCTGTCTGTCATCATGTAGCGTGTTTAAGTTTGGCTGTTGATGCTGTGAGGCAGCCGTGTACAGCAACACTGAGAACCTACCAGAGCAATGTTGTTCAGCCTTTTAGCTCCCTAATTATTCTCTTCTTCTTCTTTTTATTTGTAGAAGATTGTGCTTGGAAAGCTGAGTTTTTTTTCTTTGTGTTAGAGTGAGTTGTGAAATGAGAAGAGAGTGAAACAACTTTCTGACTGTGTCTGTGTCTGCCTCTCTTTTACCTGTTTTCAATAATTAAAGGGTCATGTCCTTGTAGCATGCCATTACAAGGCAAAATGTACATACATATAAATATATCAACCTACAATGTTGGTAAGCCAAGTGTTCATGTTGTAGCTTTTTTCATAAAGTTTATTATTGAATTTGCTCTAATAAATTGTATTCCTCCATGTCTTAGGAACACACTTGTTATTGCTTGATTTTGTGAAGATACAAGTGGGTTAAAGTTCCTCTAATGTTGGGAGTTAACAGTATTGTCACCTTTATGTGACCAAAGGATAAATATAAAAACAGGACACCTGGATTTATACATGAGATCTCTTGATCTGCAGTCAAATGCTTCACCACTGAGCTGTGAGATGATTAATGGGAGGGGAAAGAAGAAAACAGTTCTGCTACACAAATTTGAATTCACTTTTTGGAATATTCTCTAATCTTTTTTTTTTTTTTTTTTTTTAAATAATAATATAAAGTTCTTTGGCTTCGAACAGTTAATTGAATGAGTCATCTAAGACGTTTAGTGACAATACACTTCTTTTTTTGTATGGAGTCCCAAGCTAAAAAAAAAAAAAAATATATATAGAATTTTAATGTGTATCTCAATTTTACTCTGGATTTTAGTGAAGTAAAAGTAGAAAGTAGCACAAAGTGGAAACACTCATGTAAAGTACAAGTACCTCAAAATTGTACTTAAGGACAGTACTAGAGTAAATGTACCACCTCTGCTCATTTAAAGGACTGACCCTTCTTATCTATTCTGTCTACACTGATAACTGCATCTTCAGAGCCCTAAATTGCTCCCAATAGTCGGGCACCTTGCACAGCCATCAGTGTCTGATTGGCTGAATGAAATGCAAACTGAAAATCACTGTAGATAAAAGCAACCACGTAAAATATTCCCTCACAAGTTCACAAGTCCTGCATTGAAAATTTGACTTAAGTAAATGTGTATGAGTGGCCTACTATTAGCAAAAGATCCTGGAAGTATCATCTCCACTCATTATTGAATTATATCCAATTAAGGTGTGCCTAGTTTTAAGTTCTCCTGTTGGTAAATTTAAATTAAAAAAAAAAAAAAAAATTCTTATTGTATGTGTTCAGCAGAAGTTTGACAGATAACTTAAATTAAATGGAGTAAAAAAATACAATACACTCACTGCGCACTTTATGAGACACTATTAATACAAATACCGGCTCATTCCTCCCTTTGCTCTTAAAATACTCTCAACTCTCCGTGGCAAAAGATGTTGGAAGCATTCCTCAGATTCTGCTCCATGTCCACATGATTGCATCACATTTCTGCAGATTTGTTCATGCTGCCAATCTCCTGTTCGACCACATGTTTAAGGTGTTCTACTAGGGAGACCCGTGACGTAAATCAGTAACACTGTCATTGTCAACCAGTAAATCGTGGCACATGCGCAGCAGCAACACTCAAGATAGAAATGCATTCAAACCATAACTGATTGGTGTTAAGGACCCAAAGTGTGACAAGAAAGAAAACATCCCCCACACCATTACATTACACCACCACCACCACCACCACCACCCGCCTGGACTGTTGACACAAGGCAGGTTGGGTCCGTGGCGTCATGCTGCTGGTGCCAAACTCTGGCTCTACTATCTGCGTGTCTCAGCAGAAACTGAGCTTCATCAGACCAGGCTACATTTCTCCAGTCTTCAACTGTCCACTTTTTGTTTTTGTACCATTCTAAGTAAAAACTCTAGAGACTGTTGTGCATGAAAATCCCAGGAGATCAGCAGTTTCAGGAAAAACCAAAAACCAGCCCATCTGGCACCAACAATCAAGCCACGGTCAAACTCACTCAGATAACATTCTTTCTCTCGTTCTGATGTTTTCTGTGAACATGAACTAAAGCTCCTCACCTGTATCTGCATGCCATGCTCTGCACTGCTGCCACATGATTGGCTGATTGGATGAATGCATGAATAAAGAGGTGCACAGGTGTTCCTAATAAAGTACTCGGTGAGTGTATTTACCTCTACAACATCAACATCAAATTTACATACACAAGTATAGCACCTCAGACTGGTACTTACCTCATCTATGACATCTTCAGTAAATAATGCACCATGTGATGAATGCTCGTTTGTCTACTTGAATTAAATGCAGCTGCTGCTTCAGGCATCACAACCAGTCCTGGTCTAACTCTGCAGGTCTGTCACTGAATGCATCCTCAGTCATCCATCAGTCCTTCAGTGTTTCCTCTGCACTTTATGTGACATTACATTTTATGTTACATTACATGTTGTGTAAGAGTCAACATTTGGAAAATAAAACCAGTTTGGATTTCCAGTGTAAGTCTGCAGTGTCTTTAATCTAAAAAAGATAAATAACAGGAATTTGTGCTTCAAGAAACATTATATATATATATATATAATTGTAAATGCTTAAAAGGCATTACATTCACCTCATGGTTGGAACTGTGAAATCATGTTAACGTAGGACGCCTCGAGACATCGTCTCTGTGTCTGTGTGTGGGACTGACAGTTACCATCCACAACCTTCAGCAGTTTTAAATGTCACGGCCTACCCACTGTGAGTCAAGACGAAACAGGAGAACAACTCCCCTAATATTGGCACTTTCAGATAAACACATCTGGTACATTATGAAACCATGTGACCATGCCACAGAAACAGTTGACACATTTGAACAGAAAAAGAAACGGGGAAACCAAGCAAAGCAGCCGTGATCAAAACAAAACTCTAAGAGCTACGTGTACATGTACAAGAAACTATGAGGTTTTTCTGCTCTGCTTGATTGTGTACGTTGTAAATACCTTCTCATGATCCAATATCACACTTAACCAGCACTGTTGATTCATGTCAAAATGTCAGAACATGAAATATGAGATGAAAATTACACTTCACTTGTCATTTTTTTTCCCAACACTGCCATGAACCTTGAGCAACCTTCCTTCACAGTGTGCCAGACAGTTACGGTTTGCCTTTTGATATTTTTTTTCAACATACACCAAAACAACAGGGAATCTATAACTTTTTACACTCATAGTTATGACATTTACTTGACGTATGGCTCTTAATGTAACCAATACATCTCTAATATTATGAAAATAATTTCAGTCCCAAATAAATGATTAAAATTTTTCTACACTCTAAATGTGCAATTCTTATACAAAGTGAATGCAGATAATTCTTCACACGTGAAACATATTAGTAGTCCTTGGCGTTTCACCTCTCTTCGAGGAAACACAGTCGACTCCTTGACGCATGTATGTGTCTGTGTGCTTGCTCTCAACTCATGTTTCACAATTTCACAATTTTCCCGCCCAGCTGGATGGAGTGATCTCTTCATTGCACAGGACCTCAGGGGTGAAGGGATGCTGGAGCACAAAACCACAGCAGCCTGTGAGGGCACCGTTGAGTCTGTAAGAAACAGGAGGCACTCTGAACCCTCGGTTCCCGCGGAGCCTCCCACGCCATTCAGCAGCATCTCAACGGGACAGAGGAGATTTTAAAGGGAGGGAGAAGGAAGTAACAATCTCGGTAACATATGGCCGTCCCGTCCAAAAGCACCTGGCTTTTGGGTGGTGGTGACTGGTATTCTAGCTGCCTGGCAAGACAGGGTCGGAGACGTGCCTCTGGATCTCCTGCATTTCTGTGGAGGTCTCCAGGTGCTCAGGGAGGGAGGGGAAGCGCTGGCTGCCACATAACAGTCCAGGAGGCTCTTGGACCACTGACAACTGAGGAGGGGTGAGGTTCACAGAGGGCAGATGTGGTGGGTCCGCCTCTGGTGACATTGACATGGTGTCATCAGAGGCCACAGTGAGGTGGATCCCGCTGGACAGGGAGTCCTTGGATTTGTGCTTGAAGTCAGAGTCTGGACTCTGGAAGGACAAAAGGGGGATTCATTCAGGCAGGACTAGATACTGCATATGTAGGGACTTGACAAAGCACACCATGATAAAAATTAAAAAAGTGAATATGTTGAATGTTTTTAGAGATCATTTTATTTGAAAACATGATTTATATTTAATTTTTGAAAATTTAATTTCAAATTTTTTTATTACATTACATTTTTTAAATTTTTCACCAAAATTTTACTGTTTTGCAAATGATTTGTCGGCCCACTTGCAATACCTTTGCGGCCCCCATGTTGGGAACCACTGTTGTCAGAGTATCATTTTAAATGTATTCAGAAATGTTATGATGCTCCAGTAAGGAGTCATAAGATTTTGAAAGATAATTCCCCAGTTAGTGCAGAATTAAAGAAGGAACACAACTTTTAATGTCCATGTCTATATCTTTTAAATGTCATGTGTGATCTTTTTCTAAGAACAGAAAATATAAGACACTGATTATTATGAATTCATTGACAAACTGTTAAAAAAGTGTGGGGAAAAAAAATTGTCTTTTGTTCTTAGAAGGAAAATGCTCCACTGACATTTAAGTTATTCCTCGATCCATTATCACATTTTTTACCACCAGAGAAATTCATTCTTGACAGTTAAAACTATTTCAACACATTTTTGAAGATTTACAGGCCTGTTGTCACATGTGCTCATTTGTGTTCGATTGTCTCAATTAATTGTCTCACCTCAACTTGTTTCAACTTGATTTTCACTGATTTACACTCACAATTTATATGTTAATCATAAAATAGATGTTACTGGAATTAGTGGCATAGGGGCCCAAAAAGCCATGAGTACCGAGCAGCATACTTGTGATAACTGTATGTGTGTATACTCAAACACAACACCTGTAGCAGTGAGGCAGTGCTGTCGATCTGTGCTGGCTGTACTGGGGGGACAGTATGAATTGTGGGTGCTCCTGTGCTGTACAAGGTGGTGGGGTGAGGCGGATGAGGGCTCGGGGACACGGCGCTGTAGGCTGGAGGCACCGGGGCCATCTGCCTCTGGAGGAGCTGCAGGATCACGTTGATATCTGCTGTCATACGGGTCTCCAGCCTGGCAAAGGGTGAAGGGAGACATCAGGAATTTATCTTCATGATGAGAAAACACACAATTGAAACTGTTTTTAATTCTGTTTTAAGGATGGATGGAGCGCTTCATAATGTTTTTATAAAAAGTCATCTGCTCTTTCAAAAATGTCCACTAGGCTTCTCTCTTGCTCTCTCTATAGTATCTCTCTCTTTCTCTCTTGCGCACATATAAGCAGCCAGGCAGTTAAAGGAAGTACATTTGACTTTACAGATAATCTTCCTACATTTTCAGCCCCCCCCACGCTCTTATCTTTATTTGTCTTTCCCTCCTCCTCCTCTGTCTCCTCCTTTTCTCTCATTCACACGCAAATCATGCAGTTCTCACCACCCAGCTGGGAGCTGATATACAACCAGGGGAGGGAGGGAGGGAGGGAGACAGGCATGACGTGGAGGTAAACAATAGCCATTGCACAGTGATAACGAAAGCTTCCATGTTGAATAAACACAATTGTAAGGGGGTATAGCTCAGTGGTAGAGCATTTGACTGCAGATCAAGAGGTCCCCGGTTCAAATCCGGGTGCCCCCTCTTTTAATTTAACTCTTCAATACTGAAAGATAAAACTGACTCACCGGTTTAACTGGGACTGCAGCAGCTCCAGTCTGGACTCCAGCTCGCTGGGCCGGTCCTCAGCGCACGGTGATGGGTGGAAACTGGCCCTCACTGATGACGCCCGCCTCTGGCTCTCTGAGAACTGGCTGGCTCTGCGGCCTGGCCAGTATCCATACAGGCCTGACATGCTGATAGGTGCTGCTGCTGTGCAGAAGGACAGCAAGCCTTATTTAATTTCTGAAACATTTATTTTCAGTGATTCAAGAAAATCATGAAATATACTGGACAGTAGTTCAGTACTAGTTTAGTTTTTATATTAATATAGTTTCTCATTTTTATTCTAAATTTGGTTTAGTTAGTTAGTTTTTGCAAATGTTTTTTTTCTTTTGGTTCAGTTCTAGTTCTACTATTGCTAGTAGGGCCGGATTTTGAAGGGTGACAGAACGGATATTTTTATATGTGTAATACAAACTGTATCCTATTTATATCTCTTAATTTCTAGTACACTTAACTTCAGCTTGCAGCCATTTCAAAATGAACCTGTAAAAATACTTACATTCTCATAAATGTAAACAATGACTTTTGTGTTCTTTTAGTTTAATTTTCAGATTAGGTTTGTTACGTTTTCAGTTTAGTTTTTATTTGCATTTATATTTGATTTACATTTGGACTCAGGACTTGAAGTTAAATCCTGTGACCTTGTTGCACCAAGGTTTGATGACTCAACTAAAACTCTACCCATCGCAAATCAGACCCCAAACCTCACAATGATTCAAAGAGATTAAGGAAGAAGACTGAACTCACGAGTGCTTCCTCTTAATTTCACTCCTTTGTGTCATCAAATGGAATTTACATGTGACCACTGTATTCAAAAAGAGTAGCTCAGATTTTTACATTAAATTTGGGAGTTTATTAAATCTTCTCTTGTTTAATTAAACACATGATGTGTTGGAAAAAATGCAGCCTAGTAAACCGTATTTGGCAGGTAAAGAATCTGAAGTACAAACTCTGTAAAGGGCAGAGATGGAGTTGTGATTTGAAAAGATTTAATGCTCCATTGAGCCTAGCGGAGACTGTCCAGACATGACGGATGAAAGGATTGTATGTAAAGTCTTTACCTGAGAATGGCGGTCCTCCAAGGTCAACAGGTGGTCCCATCCCAGCTGAGGGTCCACTGTGAGGCAGGATGTTGACCACTGCTGGGGGGTAGTCTCTGGTGTCACCTCCGGGGGGGTATAGCTCCCCTTTGCTGTGTCCCATGGGCTTCATCTCCTCATCACTCGACTGTGAACAGATACTAGCGCTGCTGCAGAGATCTTCCCAGTGGGATCCCGCCATCGTGGCCCGGTGGTGGTTTGCCATTGGACAGGACTGATCGGGGTAAGAGTCCTCACGGTCCATCCCATCTGCACAGACGGAGTCACAGGACAGCCGGGAAAACAATATACTGAGATTAGACATCCAACAGAAACACATGGAAATGTGTTTACCGACTTAAGCCCTGCCCCTCACTCACCTGGCCGGTTGCGACGCCGCAGGGAGCTTCTCCGATGCCTCGTCCGGCGGTAGCCACACTCAGAGTCCCTGCTCGGGGTTGGCTGGTTTATTCTATCTGCCTGATACATATCAGCGTCAGTAATTCAAAAATACACTCCAGTTCTCATGCTTAAAGGAAATATCCATTCTTGGACTGGCAAATACAATTATATATTATAAATCTATTATTATAAATCTAATCGCACTGTTACGAAGAAGAATTTCTACAAATGTCACTCATCAGGACAAAATACTGAGTCTCACTGAAATTATTTGAGTGGCAGATTAATCTATATTCACCCTCGTATTTACAACATGAGGACTGAAAATAAAGTTTGTTCACAGCAAGAAAAATATAGAATATTACTAGACTTATCCTTTAAAGTTGGTATAATGGTGACTGAAATCTATTCTAGAATTTCATAATTCTATAGAAGTATTTGCTGTGGATCAAATGAGAAGATCACACCAACATGCAGAAGTATGTATAACATAAAATCTACGGATGGAAATCAGATGAGACAATCTAAATCAATTCTTTACATTGTAATTTTTTTTTATCCCTTGTGGTGTGTGCAGCAAGGCGAGAGACATTTGGTAGGCAGCTATGTACTAGTTTAAGAGCAGAAGAAAAAGGCAGTGAGGGAAAAATATATGTTTTCAGACATTTTAAAAGCGACGTTACGAATGATTTATGAGGTAGGAAATGAATTCAGTGTGTTTGTAAGGCCTGAGGGATACATACTGAAGGTTTGGTGAGAAATCTTGAATGTATACAAAATACTGCATATGTACTGTGCTAAATATTATATATCATATATTATAATACTAAACATATAAATATACCGTATGTACATTTAAATTGTCTTAATTTGTAACTTCCTAAAGAATTTCCAATGTGAGATAACTGGTTAAAAAATGTTTTCTTAGGCCTTAAGACAAACAAACACTGATTATGGAAAAAGTTAGGATGATGTTTTAAATGCAATGTGTAAAAGCGCCCTCTGGTGGCACTCACATCTCTCAGGATGAAGGTGATCTCCAAATTGTTCCAGAACATGTCCGAAAAGTCGGGATACATGTCCAACACTTCCAGCAGGTCGTCTCTCAGGATCTTGTGAAGGTCGCAGTAGGTCAAAGCCCGGACGTCAGCGCTGGACTTCCCTGGTCTTCCGTACAGACTGATGGGCTCACCGAAGATGTCATTCTTTCCTGGAGAAACCACAGGAAAAAGAAAAATGAATTATGGGGGATGGCTAAAAGTTAATCAATAGATGTTGGGCCAAGTGAGTCAGCCACTGCAAATAATAGTGAAAACAATTTACTAACAACAATCTGATGGATGAATCTCATCCAAAACAAATGAAAAACAAAGCACTGCAGCGACACAGATCCTCACCAGCGCTGCACATTAATGGTCCTCTCAAACACAGCTGAAAAAAAAATGACCTATACAGCCTGGCTCTGAGTGCTGGCCCTATTGATGATCAATGCCGCTGTGGAATGGAAGTGGAGCTGTGCCCAAACACCTCTGGCAACACAACACATAGAGAAGTGTGTGTGCGTGTGTGCGTGTGTGCATGTGTGCGTGTGTGTGTGTGTGTGTGTGTGTAAAGGGCAAGAGTTGTGGCTCTGGCTTTGTGGGAAAGAGACAACAGGATGACAGAACGAACAGACAGAAAAGGTTACAAAAGAAAAATCACAAAATGTCAGTTAAATGTTAGTATAGCAACTTTTAGTGGTTTCAGATTCACAGATGCAAAGATTTACCTCCTTTTTCTGCATTGTACAGTTTTTCATGATTATTTGCAGTGGGTGTTAGTCATTATTATTGATTTTTTTTATATAAACTATATGTTAATTCATCAAATAACTGTCATTGATTTCCATCCAAAGTGGAACAATAGACAAAGTAAGACCTTCATCGTGGCTTGTAGCTCACCCAGTATGGCCACCACCACGTCGTCCCTGAGGATCTCTATGGAGCCTCTGGAAATGAAGTAGAGGGCGGTGAGAATGTCCCCACTGTGGACCAGAGTGTCACCTGGCGGGGCGTGGGTGGTCTTGAATCGCATGGCTAAAGCCCGCAGGCAGCCTTTGTTGGCACCTCGAAAGGCTTTGCAGTTCTGCAGCAAGCTGCGGTTCAAATGGAGGCAGATGTCAGCCTGCAGACACTCAGGGAAACCCTTCAGAACCTGCAGGGCAACAGAGGGCATAAGGTCAATTTAAATAATTCTCCATGCTTTTCTTCCTTCATTGTGCACCCATTTTTCCTGTAGCTTTAATACCAATTATTCTAAAAATGGAAAATGCCAAATGAAAGTGAAAGGTGCATAAAAAAGAACCTGCGGGGTGAGAGAAGATTGATGCAGGTGGGGCACACAGGACAGCTGCTCCAAGTGATTATCTATTCTCACATTGAATTGGCAGGCGCTAATGCTGCTCTCTGGCTGCGTCATGCTCCAGTGCTGTTTGGAGCCCAAGCCCAAGCAGCGATATGACGCACATCATCGCTGAAAACTGGGTCTCCAAATGGAGCATCCCCGGTGGACACTCTCATTTGTATGTTTGAATAGAAGGAGGGCACCCAGGGTTGAACTGGGGCCACCTTGATCTTCAGTGATCTCACCACTAAGCTATACCTCCCAGCTGAAGGCCATTGATGTTTCATTTTATCCTCAGACAAGCATGTATAAATCCAAAAAATCAGGCTGATAGTGGCAGGCTGTTTGAAAGCTCATTGCATAAAAAATAGAGAATTTTATGCAGAAATTAAACATGCATCACCAGCTCTTCTCGTTATAGTACAGCAGTTGTAGTTTGCGATTATATAGACAAAAGATCCACATGGTGTTTAGGACAGGGGGCACCCAGATTTGAACTGGGGACCTCTTGATCTGCAGTCAAATGCTCTACCACTGAGCTATACCCCCTTACACATGTATCAACTCAACATGGAAGCTTTCACTATCACTATGCAATGGCTATTGTTTACCTCCACGTCATGCCTGTCTCCCTCCCTCCCTCCCTCCCTCCCTCCCCTGTTTGTATATCAGCTCCCAGCTGGGTGGTGAGAATTGCATGACTTGCATGTGTATGTGAGAAAAGGAGGAGACAGAGGAGGAGGAGGGAAAGACAAATAAAGATAAGAAAGGGTGAAAGGTGGGGCTGAAAATGTGAAAATTGAACATTTTTGTATAAAAGCATACAGCAAAGACTAAATCTTTCTGAACTGTCTCAACATCTATTTAACAAAAAATAAGAAAAAAAAAAGCCTGTCTAGCCATCACCCTCATCCCAAACCTAGAGAGCGCGCCTCCTGTGAACCCGTGTATGAATTTCCTTGTGACTTACAGCATTCATGTCGATGCCGTTGGTGTAGGACCAGGCATGTTGGAAGTACTCCTCTAGCCTCTGTCTCAGGCCTCCGGGGATCTGGTGGAACCGTATGAACTCTTTGACCCTCAGCATCTGGGTGTGGTAGCGGGCAGTGCCTGAGTACAGTCTCTGAATAATGGCTGACACATTACCGAAGATACTGGCATACATCAGAGCTGCAAGGGACAGAGGACAGAAATACTGCAGGTTAATTCTCTCCTGGTGGACAAATGGTTCATACTATATGAGCTTGTGAGGGGAAGAAGTGATGATTCCAAAATTGTATATATGAATGCCATTAAAACAAATTGAAAAATTGAGGGAAGGTCAATATTACAAGCGATCAAAAACAGCAAGATCCTCTTTCAAACACAATCTGACACACTTGCTTTAGACTGATAATATGTAAGAGCAAATGGATGGTTATGTTATCATTATCATCACTGAGCAAAGCTGCATAAAAGTCTCTTAAGCCTGCCATATTTATTTTGAATGAATCCAACTATCTAATAATGTTTTCATAAATAAATTCCTCATTTTAAGATTGCACCTGTAATTAAACTGAATTATCATATACATATAAGAATTCCATTCATTTTAATGTCCCATGTTAATGCAGATTTACACGTTTTTCAGCTGTAGAAAAAGATAAGTTTAGGGAAACAGAGAATGTTTCTTTAGTGTGAAAACACCAACTATGTAAAGATTGAAGCTTTGAAATATTGGTCATTAGCTGTTCCATCACAATCAGAATTGACAGAGGTTTTCACATTCACTACAACTATACCTGCTTTAAAACTTAAGGTATTGTATTTGCTCTAGAGAGTGCTCACCCTAAAAGGATTCAGATTTCAGACTCACTCCCACTCTACTCACAGCCAATGAGCATGACACAGATGGAGAAGATCTTCTCTGGGTTGGTGTTGGGTGAGACGTTCCCGAAGCCCACACTGGTCAGACTGCTGAAGGTGAAGTACAGGGCTGTAACGTACTTGTCCTTGATGGAGGGGCCTGAAGCTGCGTCGCTGTCGTTGTACTGTTTACCGATCTGTTCGGCCAGGTTGTCCAGCCAGCCGATCTTCATGGCTCCTATGCGCGCAGAGCCGGTGCGCTCCACGTTGCCGATGGCGTACCAGATACAGGCCAGCCAATGAGCGATGAGGGCGAAGGTGCACATGAGGAGGAAAAGGACAGCAGCTCCGTATTCTGAGTAACGGTCCAACTTCCTGGCCACTCGTACCAACCTCAGCAGCCTGGCTGTCTTCAGTAATCCAATCAGAGTAGTTGTCTGAGGCTGGTGGAGAGAGAGCAGACCTCATGTCAGTGGCAGCCAGTAAAAAAATGCTCAAACCAGTGACACAGTCTATGAATCACTGAGTCCTGAACTGAATATTTTGCTGCAGATATGAAATTAATTAAATGTGGATATTATTAATGCAGGATTTTATTAATCAAAATAAAAGAGGATCCATCAAATTATTGGACAATAATGCAAAACCACAACTCAACAGGTGTGCGGACTCTCTTTCTGATCCTGTGTGTCTAATAAATAATTGATATTAAATCCTGCATTGACAGTTTGTTATGAGTGAAGTTTGACCTGTTTACACTGCTGTCATCTAAAATGAGTTTTTTGCACTAATGTAGCACAACTAGCATACATCTGGTGTCTGGTTATAATTTCATACAGGATACTAATGTTGCTTTTTTTAAATGTGGGCTTCTGAACTTTTTACCTGTGCTGTCTCCAGGCAGAGCTAGAGACAAGCTGAGACAGACTTGTAGTGAAAAGTGTTGAAAATGCAAGAACAAGCACTGCATTCAAATTTACCTTTAATCTGTATTTTACTGGTTTCCAGCAAGTTGCTTCATTTCATAATACTGAAAATGTCCATTAAGCTATAATCACATTGTGGCAATGTCTATTCTACACACCTGATCTGCCCTAATGTGTCCGTGCAGTATGTATCTTCCACACTCGACCCACAAGATGCAACTGCCTTGTTCTTTCAAGATAAAACTATTATTGGTTCGTTATGATTCACCAACATCAGTCTAAGGCTATGAGGGAGTGGAGGCGAGACCTCTTCTCAGTCTATGATCTTTTGAAATGTTGTAACATGGAAAAGGACAGGGCAGAAATCTCCTTCCAGAGGGTCGTCCCCCTCAATATATCATTGTAAACCTAAGTAAATTTAAGTAATATAAATAAATGTGTGGGAGGATTTTGGGGAGGCTATGAAGGAGGACTTTTGTTTGGCCAAAAGGAAGTTCATCAACTCAGGAAGGGGAAACAGGGTTTGACCCAGGCTGTGTTCAGTTGGGGAGGAGAACTGCAGACCCGGACCAGAGATGTTGTTGGGCGGTGGGAAGAATACTTTGAGGAACTCCTGAACCCGGCTCACATGCCCTACGTGGATGAGGCAGAGTCTGAAGACTCGGGGGAAGTCTCATACATAGCCCCGGCAGAGCTCGCTGAGGCAGTCAAGAAGCTCCTTGGCGGCAAGGCCCCAGGTGTGGATGAGATATGCCTGTTTACTCTAGGGTGCTGGAAAGGAGGCTCTGACCGATTGTTGAACCTAAGAATCAGAAGGAGCAATGCGGATTCCTTCCTGGCCGTTGAACAGTGGACCAGCTCTTTACCCTTGTGAGAGTACATTCACTGAATATGTGTTTTCAGTGAATGTTAGACTCCGCCAAGGTTGTCCCTTGTCTCTGATCCTATTTGTGATATTCATGACAGAATTCATGATATTCAGACAGAATCTCAAGGCGCAGCTGTGGTGAGGGGTGTGTCCACTTTGGGATCCTCAGAATTGTATCTTTGCTCTTTGCAGAAGATTTGTTTCTGTTGGCTTCATCAGAACGTGACCTCCAGTGCTCACTGAATTTGATTTCTGAATGAACTTCTTAAATTAGAGCTATAAAGGAAGATAGGAGGTGACCTGACGTATAATAATAATAATGTTTTCTAATCATATTTTTCCTTGTTGAATATTGATCATACAGTATGTTTCTAACTTATCTAAGATCTTAATCTGCAAAGAAATTTGTAACTAATAAAAAAATATATATATAGTGGAGTAAAAGTACAATATTTTCCTCTGAAAAATTAAGTAGCCCAAATTGTTGCTCCTGTATTTAAGTGGATGCTTCTTAAATCTGTACCAAAATACACCTGAGTGAACATATAGTAACCTCCACGGCTGCCTACAGGCACTAATATCGATTCACAGGACTAAGTCAGTTTCGTAAAAAACCACATATTTCCAGGAACATGACCATAATGGATCTGTTCCACACATCCAGGTTAATTGTTCCAACTGAGATAAAACAGATGTTTGCCAACTCTTTAGCTCTTATTTTGGTAAGCCTGCCACTAGTAACCCACAGACTGGCCTTTTGTTAACAATACTCTTAGTCTTAAAAGTTTATAACCTCTTCTGGATAACATGAAAACAAAAATGCCCCCCGCGACCTGTGTGCCCCCCTTTCGTTTGCTTGAAGTTTGTTTTTTTTCTCACCTGCATGATCTACAGTGATACTTAAATGGAACCGAACCATCACTAATGTTATTTGTCATACGTAACAACCAATCTTTGACCTTTGTTTCTGTTGTGAAATAACTCTTTTTCACTTCGTCAGACAACATTGGGCGAGGAAAAATTAGTCAGTAAAAATTAATCAGTATTGAGAGGCTGCTGACATCCTCTGTCTCACCTCCTCTGACCCAGAGCGGAATATGAGCAGGTCGAAGGGGATGGCGGCCACGATGTCGATGAGGAACCAGCCCTTGAAGTAGTGCTGCGCGATGTGTCCCGGGTGGCTGACCACCTCGTCGTTTTGGTTGACGTAGGTGGTCCTGAAGTTGATGAGGATGTCCACGATGAACATGACGTCCACCACCAGGTCCACCACGTTGAGCGGGTTGCAGGTGTAGCCGCAGGTTCTCCTCCGCTCGTCCTCCACCTCGTTGAGAAGGAAGGCGGCCGAGTATGGCGTGAAGACGGCGGTGTAGATGACCAGCAGCAGGATGACCCAGTCCCACACCGCTTTGAAGGGGCTGTAGTGAAGGATGGTCCATTTATGGATGCGTGGGGCCTGGAGCTTGTACTCTGGCAGCACGTCAGCACCGAGGGACAACACCTGACGACATAGGGAAGAGATGGAGAACATGTTATCAATAATGAAGGCAGGATAGTGAGAAACATAACCATAAAGTTTACTTCACAGGAAGTTACTTCATGAAGCCTATACTTCAAACAGGATAACAGGTGTCTCCATTCATTGATGTACATATCTGTTATGAGATGGAAAATTCTGACACTAATGCAAACACTGTGATGACAGAGAGCAGGTGACTAACATTATCCAGAAAGAATAAAACAGCAGTGAAAGGTTTAGTAATTGGCCTGTAGATCAATAACTTCTAATTATCATTATTATTTAAATGCCATTAACCAAATATAACTTCAGGTTTAATTTTTTAGGAGTTAAAATTTTTCAGCAGGTTTAATTCTTCATGAGGTTTAATATTCATGACCTGCGCCGTAATTTAACCTCCACTTTTTCACTTTTATATCACTTATAAGTCACTGGTAAACAGAGAGCTGTGGCTATTTAGTATTTTCTAAATCTCCTATACAAAACAAACCAGCCCAAACGCATTAGAGCAACTCTAAGTTCTCATTTCTGAAACAATGGCAGTGGCTTACTATGACTTATAGGCATATTCACAGAAGTGCATATTAAAGTGTTTTCGTTGACCAACTCTGCTGAATTTTAAGAGAAAAGAACAGTGTTACGGTCATGTTGTCACGTTGATATGTAGCATGTATGCAAACTCACTTACTGGAGCTGCTTCAGAATAAAAGCCTTCCAGCAAAAACATTTTAACCTGAAGAAAACAGGAAATGTTAACTGATTGTCACCAGCAGTGCTTGCCTAAGGTTCGTGTGGAGCTGGTCTAGATCAGAGCAGATACCAGACTACATCGCCAACTTTGTAGGTAAAGCTTTGCATGTGAACACTTCCCTTTTCATGCACAGATATAAAAAAAGAAAAAAGGTCCAGGTTAAACCAAACCAGGCACCAAAATGTAGGATGTTCTACCACTTAAAGTGCGGCAACAAAGAAATATCCAGATTAAAAATATCCTGATATTAAAATAGCTGTTAATTTGAGCAGGGAAAATGTGTATGCATAAATCAGTGCTGCTCACGCTTTGTGGCTTCACACTACACACTGCGTGTCACAGCCCATCAGACTTTCCTTCATAACATTCTGCACCTAAAGGTAAGTAACAACCTCCTCAAAAAAATTCTCACCAAGTTTGGCAGAATAAAAAATATCACAGCCCTCTAATACCAACATGTCCACACACTTAGTTTCTCAATATGCAAATTTTTTATTGCAGAACAGAAACAGCTCCTTCCTTTAGCAAAGCAAAAAAAAAAAAAAAGACCAACATGCAAATCTCCACCCAGTGTTGCCACCACCACCACTATTTGCATTAACAGGCAGACCAGCGCAAAAACAGTAAGATATTTGTGAATTAAGTGATGAGTACAAAGATCCCACTGACCGGTACGACAATAAGAGCCTCCATGTCCTGGTTCTTATCCTGGTGGCGACCACAGCAGCAGAGAAGGCTCCTCCAAACCCTCTGCAGCCCTACCTGCCTGCTGTGCAGCGGCCACCTCCTCTGCTGCATCACCTTCTTACAGAAAAACCTCCCACCTAGATCTAACAGGGTCCCTGTGCAGCTCTGTCCTCTCTCCACAGGCACTTTCACTAAGTCACAGCTCTAGCTGTTCTTTTTAAAGCAGCCTTACCTGCGTCTGCCTCACCATGTGATCCCCATTTTATCTAGAACATATGACCCCAACTGCCAGAGTTCTGGTCAATTGTGGACCAGAATAAGTGCTGTCATTGATTGCACGCCACATAGGAGTGATTTCAGTTAATTCTTGTTAACTACAATGTCAGGACTTGGGCTGGCTGATTTAACAGTGATCGCTCTTTAACAGATGTATTTTTCTGATGCCCTGTTGCTGTCATCCATATCTGCATTAACAACTAGTAAAAAAATGCTCTCAGTGCATTGTTGTCCTTACATCTCCTCAAAGTCCTCCAGTTTTTAGACCCTCATTTGCATTTTAGTTTGCATTATCGTGGTCATAGTCAGCATGAATAAAGAAGATGGACTTGTGGCTGCAGTGGCTCTACAACCAAACACTCTAATAAAATCACACAGGGACCACAAGTTAAGTTTAGCATGGTATTGACTATTTAGAACCCCTCCTCCCACCGAACAAAAATGCTGTTTCTCTCCATTACCCCAGCTAAGACTAAAACAGGGGCCAGCAAGTAAATGGCTTCTTAAGGACAAAGTACTACATTTAAAAAAGCTACTAAATGTGTACGTGGCCATATTTGGTTAAAAAAAAGAAAGAAAGTAAGACAGAAAAAAAGAAAGGGGGAAGTAAGATCTTCACTGGGAATAACCCAAGCCTGTATAGTTTTCCATTATAGCATGCAATGCCCTGTAACAACAGACGGATGTTTGCTTCTGCTCTTGCTCCTCAAATCTGTTTTTATGACCAAATAGACAACGTACAGTGTTTTGGAAATGGGGTGAAGGTGGAAAACCCTGCAATATTTATTGAATCCCTCTAACACAACAACCTGCGGCTCTCTTTTGCGTATCAGCCACTGACCATCGCAGCTGAACAGATGTAAAAAGACAACACAGTAATGAGAATGTAAACACATGAGCGAGGTTCACTCATCCAAAAAATTTTAAGGTATTGATGTTGTCCACAGCTCTGTTTCATAATGAACAACTGCCACCTCTAGTTTGCACGCAACAGCTCTCTGTTGCTACTCTGACTTTATAATTATGAAAGGAAGAGTTCACTGTTTATAGATTTTCATGTTTATTAGATTCAAAAGACGGCGGAGGTGTTAAGTACAAGTGAAGCTTAAAGACTGAACAGCATATAAATCATGAAAGAGAGTGTGAAATACATAAAACTGCTGCTGTGAGCTGCTTCTAGGACATTATTTATGTTTTTTGTTGTTTTTTTGTTGTTATGTTATTATATACTTTTATTCTCAGTTTTGAAAAAAAAGCCACAATGCAAAATGCTAAATCTTTCACATATAAACTTGTTCCTGTTACTTGTCTTTGCTTTTCCCTGTATATTCCATCCAAAGACAACCGCAGTGAACACGACATTAAACTATTCAGACCGTGCATCCTAATCCTGTCTTATTCCATTCTAAACATAAGCACAACACCTAATTCTGTACTTAAAACACCATCACTCAACTCAAATACAAAATGCTGTGAGAGCAAAATCAAGTTTGGGACAAGTGTCCATAAACAGGACCTTGTCATAGCAAGGTGACATGGCATCAGCTTTACCTGGATAAAGCTGATGTTGCTCACCTGTGGAGCTACAGCTAGTAAAAAAGGAAGGGTGAGAAGGAGGATGAAGAGAGTGGGGGTGAAGAAGGAAAGGAAAAAGGAAGCTGGTGGCAAACAAACAGGGAGGTAGAGCTGAAGAGTTTGAAGAGGACACAAGGGGACGTGAGAGACCCAGTAAGGCTGAAACACTCACAGGCTGAAGTTTCTGCTTGAAGCTCATGCTGAAGCCCGCCACAGGGTAAACAACGGGAGAAGACTAAGACTATGAGAGAGAGCAAGAGAGAGAGAGAGAGAGAGAGAGAGAGAGAGAGAGGGAGATGGCAACCTCTGTCTATCCGTCTGTATCTCCCTCCCTCCTGCTCCCTCGTTCATCCTCCCTGCCTGTAGCCCAGCCCTCACTGCAGGATCCTCTTTCAGACACATGAAAAAAACTGTCCAGAGGCTGTATGAATGACGGCATCCCCCACCTCCACTGGTACCCAACAAGCAACAACTGCGTAAAGTCAAAGCAGGCCCTACTAGACATTCATAATGCAACAACAAAACAATTTGTTGAGATGAAAGATGCTTTGAGTTCTACGAGAAAGAAAAATACCGGTTTTAATTTTCCTATAAGACTCTTTGTTGACTATGTGGGCCGCCTGATTTATGCTCAACTATGAGAAAACAAGTATCTAAATATTTTAATGTGTTTACCCTGCAACCAAGTTTATTTAATTTATCCTCTTTGAGTCTGTAAAGTATTGTCTAAATGCTGGCTAAACGAGGTGTATTTAAATTTGTATGATTTGGTTTCTGAAGACGTGATGTCCTGTAAGTTGTTCAAAGTCATTATGGGTATTATCTTAAACGGAAACAACACGTTGACAATATATTGTACTTTTTTTTTTGTCAAACTTAATCCATAGCTGTAATATTTTAGTACCATCAAACAATATCCGTATCATATCCACCCATTTAGCCAGAAATATTTGTAGAAATAAATATTTTAATATATTGTATTAGAGAAGAGTCAGACAACTTGTTTATCAATTTATTTTGATGGACTGTCTCAAACACACCCGTCGTTGTCTCAATTACACATTTTTTTGGCGGACGGCAGCTCAAGAATAAAGACTGTCCTCAAATTTCTAATGAACGTGTTATAGGTTTGAATATGAACCTGATTAACACAAACACGTCAACACACACAGTTAAAGTGGACTAAAATGCTCAAACTTAAAAATGTAAACTAAACCCAGATTTCTACTTCTACTTTCTCCCTGTTGTAAGCTCATTCAAAGCCAGGGGGCACCACATAAACACACTTCTGCTTTGCCAAAACACACACACACACACACACACACACACACACACACACACACACACACACACACACACACACACACACACACACACACACACACACTAGGAGTTACAGTGTGCTTTTCTACAATTATCTGTCTTTTACAAGCTGCAGTCTAGTCAATCACATTGTGTGCTTCATGTTATGCAGACAAATCAATATGAACAACGATCAATGACAACCTTCATTTCCCTTTTTGTAAGGTGCCAATCGAAATCCAATTACAAAGGCGGGACAACGAAAGTTTTTATTGTATAACGGAACACAACCAGGAGAAAAGAAGACACATGTTTAGAGATTTAGTTAAAATTACCGACGTGATAAATCTGTAGAAAACTTGCTCTTGGTGTTGTAATTGATCGGCTGCTCCCACATGTAATGATTACTGTGACCTAAAACCTGACCTGTGAGGCCTGACATTCATCTGCAACCCGTGACTATGATACCACTGCGAGTAAATTCAAGCTGGACAGAAACTAAAACTGGCACCAGTATGAAGACGGCTGGGGGGGGTAGGAAGGGTGGGGAGGGCTGTGATTTAAAGGGCAGTTGGAGGGTTGACAGATACACAGAGAGCACGCACACTGCCCTCCACTTCCATTAGCTCCAGAGGCCAAGGTCACAGGCAGCGTCAAGCCAACGAGTGCAGCTCAATAGCCTCACAGCTGCCGCCCTTTTTACTCGCTTTCATAACTACATCTCACCAGAACCCCTCTGCACTCCCACAGACAGTCTGTGATCCTCACACACAGCAATGCAATCTCCATATGCATCCTCACACACTCAACTGAGTCGTCGTCCCCCCTCCTCTGTGCTGCCTAGCTACCATCTATACTGACATCACATACAGCAGATACAACAATACCTCAGTCATATCAAAAACAGTTTAAACACATATCTCTTTTGGTACCTTCTTACTAAATAACTATATTTATTTAATGTCTAGTCAGTTTATTAAAGTTTAAGATTTTAGTGTTTATATCCCTGGTTTATTTGCAATGAAAAATAAGCAGATCTGTGCACATGGTCAAGCAGATGAGCCACCACAACAAAAAGTTTCCATTCAAAAACGTGTTTTGTTTACTGTTACTTCACTTGGATGTTTGAGCTTCACTGGGCAGAATTATATATTTGCAGAGTCTGACACTAGAAGGCTTAAATCTGGGGTCTGTTTCACAAAGATATTTCAGACCAGTCTTAAATTTGCTTGTAGATTAGTCTAATGCAAGTAAGACTGATTCACAATGAAGACTGACTAAGTTTAAGCCAAAAACATTAGACACCTTACCTCCAGGCTAACTCAGGCCTAAGACCAATGTTACCATGGTAACGATCAATGACACCTGCGCTGACCAGTAGCAGCAATGAATAAAAAACTGGTTTGCTAACATTGTTACGGAGAGAACAATAAGAGGTTTTGTTTTTCTTGTTTCAGTACATCCTTCTAACTGTTGAATTCTTCCAAAAGACAAACATTTCCTGCTGGAGTATTTGGATGGAGTTCCTCGGTCTGCCATTTTGTTTTATTTTGAAAAAAGTCTTAATTTACCCAGAATTCATAGTACCACAGTACGGCTTAAGATAGACAAGAACTAAACTGCTTTGTGCCACGGATGAATTCAGACGTCCATCTGAAGTCTGATTATTTCTTATATCTAAGCCGTAGTCAATGTCTGTCTTTGTGAGTTTAAGATGTGCACGAGTTGGATTTTGTGACATCACAACTATTTGGAACCAGTCATGGTCCAATATATAAGTTATATAACTAATATATAACTTACACATGTGCGATGGGGAAACTGAAATCCTCCAGTGTGTACTACTACATACAGTACACATCACACTAAGATAAATACGAATACTCTATCCAGTATTGTGCTTTCCATCAAACGAGACAAAATATCTGGGAAAAGTAGTCAGATGAACCCACAAGTGGAAAGTTTGTCTTTACTAAAAACAAGATTTAAAGACTCAACACTGGACTAAACTGTTTCAAAGATGAAGAAGTCCTGAGGACGATCGTGTGTGGTCTGTCAACAGGGGACATACCAGAGACAGATAGCTGTAAGTCATACCCTGCTGAGCAGCAGACAAACACTCCACTGCAATACTAACACTGAGGAACGCTCACTTTTTCTCCTAAACGACGTCAGCAGAGTCGAGATAACAAGATAACTTCCAGGAGGCCTTCTGCTCGTCCGGTCGGTTTTTCCTGGGCCACAGAAGCCACATTGCTTCCACATTGTGCACTGAGTCATAGCCGGCTGTCGATACCACTCTCCCTCCTGGTGTGAACAAGTGAGATCTCACCACCACCACCACCAAGGCAACAGCATCCAGTCACACAGCAGTCATATAAGGGAACAGTACTGGGCTAATATGATGCAAATGTAGGACCCAAAAGTAGGATAATAAACAGGTGTGTTAATCTGCACAAGAGACTAAATTTGCACTAAGACTAAAATTTGAAGTTAGAAAGCATTTGACAAAAGGAAATACTTGAGCATTCAAGGAATTCTTCAAAGAATCTGGTTAGTGGGTTATCTGGATTACTTTGCTGAGTAAAACATGGAAGTCTTTTTAATTCAGTCCATGTCCCAAATTTGATTCAGCACAGTCCTCCAGATAATTCACTCAACCTGCTTCTTGCAAAAATGCTCTGGGAGTTTTTGAGATATCCTGTGAAATAACAAGCTGACAGACAGTCAGCCACACAAACAAACAGACAAACTGGCCCAAAAACACAACCTCTTTGGCTCAGGCTGGTTGGAAAGACAGTCATCTGACCTTTGTGGAAGCCCCACAGATAAACTGGGTTAATGTGATGCGCCGAGGGAGCCCCACAGTGATTGACTGCCAGCTCTGCCCTGGACCAGACAGGCCATTCCATTCCATCACTTTGTTTGTAAGTGTTAGTTTGTTTTGACGTATAACGTAAATACATTTATTCAGTCCCGTAATGTACAATTACATTGGATACAATGTTGAAGTGTTCCGACTTTCGGCATTTTCTCCAATAAATATTTATCTTTTTATTTATCGGCTTCTGCTAAGTTATTTTGGTCTGGAAAACCCACTGACATTAGACTTTATCATAAGGGTTTTTAGCGCATTTTCTCATTATGCAGAGCAGCATGCAATGCTTCGATTGATCTGAAAGCAGGAAAAATATCAAAACTTCTCTTTATTATTTCATTATCTCCAATTTTCAGAATTTTAATTTTCAATTTTCATTTTACTTTTAATATCTGAAAATATGTTACTGGTGGTTTAATTTTACTTTCACATAATACCTAATTACTTTTCAAGTCAGAAACTTTAGTTGCAAAGCAGTATTTTTACATTCTTCCATTGTTGTGTGTGTGATAACGGTGTGCCAACAGAGCACAGAGACACCGTGGTGTGATGACAGGTGGCTGATGGGTGTGTTCTGTTGCTGGTGCCATAAATGTCGCACCTCAGGTGAGACTATTCTGTCATACTTTCCACCGGTGACTGCTGATGTCTTTTTGCGTCTTCAGTGAGCCAGAAGCAAACACCATTTATAGACATTATAGACATCTTTGTCTGCAGAGACAGTGATGTGAAACAATGGCTGACAACCTGAACGCACCGAACAGGATGACAGCAGTGGGAACATGATATGATTGGTATTATGTGTTTTCCCAATTAGCAGCATGACAATGCAGCCAAAAGCTAGCAGACAAAGCTATTGTGAGACCACAGTCTCTCAATATGAGGCTGACATTAACTTGAAGTTATCCAATAATATCAATCCCACATTGGAAAAATCGATCCATCCATTACAAAAATCCTTAAAGGGGCGATTTGTACGTTTTCTTTGCCGGTGAACGTGGTTTCTTGCAGAGAGTGGTTGGTGGTGATTGTTGCTTGAAGAGCTTCAGCCATCATTACGTGGACTGCACTTATATAGCACTTTTCTAGTCTTATTGACCACTCAAAGCGCTTTACAATATGCCACATTCACCTATTCACTAACACATTCATACATCACACCCATACACTTTTGGAACAGGGGCAACGTGGGGTTCGGTATCTTGGGGATCAAACCACTGACCTTCTGATAAGAGGACGACCCGTTCTACCTACTGAGCCACAGTTGCTCCATCGTTGCATTTACAAGACAAGAGGTTATAATATGGAATATTATACAGAAAAAGCTGTAAGTAAGCAACAGGAAGGAATACCAAATTTAAGACCCCAGTATCAGTGACCACAGAACGACTGACCAGAAGGAAAGAGAGAAAGAAAAAAGGGATTCATCATCTCTCTTTTTTTACTGAGATGATGAAGGACTTGTCTTACCTGTGTGACCTGAGTGACCTTCTCGGTGACGTTCTGGGTGCGGTCTTTTATCTTGCTCGGTGCGATGATTTCGATCTCTGTGGGCGAAGGAGGCCTCATTCGATCTGAGCTGAAGGTGAGGGTAACCTGAGGGATGCGGCCGATGGTCCGGTGTCTCATCAAATCCGAGTCCGACGTTGAGTTCAGAGTGCTGGGCTTCAAATCTGCAGCAGACAGCAGCAATGTTGGCGATTAAGACTCAAAATTAGAGAGATCAGGAAAAATTATATATGTCTGAAAATGAATTTGAATGATAATATAATTTTTTTTTTTGTTCCTAGTTGGTGCAGATCATAGTTTTTTGTTCAATCACTATTTCTTGGCCTCAACAGGACAGACTGCATGTCCTCTCAGCCTCAAAGACACAGATGGACACACAAATATGGGGAAAATGTGACAGACAGGGTGAGAAACTAGAGTATGATTGGAAACTGTATCCTGTATTAAAAAAAATAGTTTCCTCACAAAATATTTCCCCCGAGAGAAGAAGAGAAGAGGAGGACAGATGTGCAATGATGAGCAATTTTAACACAAATGGACTACAAACCCCCCCTCCCACACACACACACACACACACACACACACACACACACACACTGACAGAGGGATTGATTAGTGTGTCTCTCCTGGAACAACCATCAGGCAGCTGCACGTGCTCAGAGCGATGCTCTGTGTGTTATGAATGTCAGAGAAAAGGTCTGAGATCTGTCTCTTTCTGTCTGACATGACAGTTAAGTTTCTCACAGTGAATCGAGGTGGGAAATCTATCATGAGCTGCTTGTAGTTTTCATAGATCTTTACATCTGAGTTTTTGTTTGACATGTTTTCAGTGCTGCAACAAATATTACACCCTGACCCTGTGAAATATTTGTTTTTATCAGCTAGCAGGTGTCCGTTAAGCTAATACGAATGAACATTGAACTGCATGTAACCATAGCAAAAATACTGATGCTTAATGTTATGTAATTTAAAAAAATGTATCCATTACACACAAGCAACCTATAATCAATGACAATTGCAGTTCTCTTGGTAAGTGGCCATGGTATTATAATGATAACGATAACGTTCTCTGAGGTGTCCTCCACGTGAAAATGATCAGTTTACACACAAAACAGTGATGAACCAAAACACCATGATTTTCGAGGGTGATGTATGTATATCATTTTCTGTTGTGCCAAAATGAAGACATCTCTCTTAAACCCTATTGCTTTCTGCCTCATACTTTGTTGCCACTTGTTTATTATGAACAGAGAAGAGCTGATGTGCATTCAGAGGAAGTAAACAATCAGTCAGTTAGAAGCTTGGACTGGCAATATATCAGTACTATCAACTGTTGTTTAATGATGTAATCATATGAGAACAACAATACTGTGTCTCATATATGTATTGAAAATAATAAATATCAAGATAATCGTATCAAAATTAAATTGCCTATGTCACATATTCCTACAATTAGCTTATTTCTTATTTGAGACAGAAATTATGTAACCAAACCAACCAAAACATGTGGATAATATGGCACCTTTGGTGTAATTCTTCGTCAGTCAAGTTTAACTGGGAAAAATAAAATGTTAAAACACTTTATATTTCACAAATATGAAGGAAATGTGTATTGTAAACATCTTTTAGCTGCTTGGAAAGACAATGCAACAATGATAACCTGATACTTCCACTAATAATTCTGCCGCACTCAGACACTCACTGCTGTTAGCGCGGGGGTCTCCAGGTCGACTGTTCCAATCTGCCCTCATGCCATCGATGTCGTCCAGTGATGAGGCACGTCGGAGGCTGCGGACACTGTCCTGGGAACAGCTCCGAGGTAAAGTCCCCCGAGGGAAGCCGATCCCGGGGTCCAGTCGGTCCGTCAGCAGGGATCTTCGCTTGGCGGACAACTGGGCTGCAGGAGAGGGAGGATCCAGGTCCTGCTCTATCAGAGCCTCCGTCTCAGACTGCATGCAGCTCTCCTTGGACGGGATCCGAAACTCTTTCAGAGGGACCTCCTCGCTGTTTGGCTGTCAAGGAAAGAGAGCAAAAATAAAAAATAAACGTGTCTGTTGCATTTCATTCAAACAGGTGTTTATGGTTGGTCTGAAGATGCATAACACAAGATTTAAGAAAATAAATACACAAAAGGGAATATATAACATACACTTTTATCCTGTCTTATTGATTTATTTTCTGAAATGGGCCATACTCATCTAAATGAAATACAAGGTAGGTCTGCAGCAGAAAGGAATGTCTTATCCCGGCCAAACAATTTCAACATGTAAATCGGGGGCCTGGTTTGGCCCAGTACAGTTCCTGTGTCAGGTATGGATACTTTTAGGAAATTGTTTCTCACAAGCTGTAATTCATCAAAACACAAGGGACAGAAGTGAGGGGAAGATTCTGAGACCAGAAAGACATTTTTTCCCCTCATTCTTCCCTCAGTCCTGAAAATTCAAACAATTCTCTCTGTGTAGTGCACATTCAACAATTGGAATTGGAAGAGTTTGTTGTCACTAAATAATTTGAGTGCAGCAAGTTTGTTTGTTTTGTGCTCTTCATGCATGTGTGAAGAGCAGTTGAGTCAGTTCAGAGGCAGCGCATGCATAATCTTTTGTTAGTGAGCGCTTTGTAGATATGTAGTGTGATTTGTTCTTCCAGATGTCAGGAGCCACTGTCACATGTGAGTGTGAACTGCAGCAAAGTGTAAGGCATGAATATTGCAATGCATGATCATTGTTTCTATGTGTATATTTATGTGTGTGTGTGTGTGTGTGTGTGTGTGTGTGTGTGTGTGTGTGTGTGTGTGTGTGAGACTGTGTAAGTGAGTGTACACCACCTCACCTGCAGGTAGTCCACCACGACTCCTTCAAACTGATCTTTGGAAAGTGAAGGTCGTCGCATGGACCGCAGCACGGGCAGCCTCATCTTCAGCCTGCGATTCTGACCTGAAGGGGAAACTCTGTGTTCAGCTCAGCTGTTTTCAAAACTTGTTTTGTATTACTAAAACGTTTTTTTTTTTTTTTTTTTACTGCATCAGAGAGGGCGTTGTTTTTGTGCATGTATCAGGTTTAGTTTATACAGAAAATGTCAACATTGACCACTACGATGAAATGTGACATCAATTAATGTAACGTAATTAATGTAAATGTTAAAGACTTTACAGTAAATCCATCCTTGGGTTACTCTCTGCCTGAGGCCTGATTTTTTGAGCGAAGGATCGATTAACTCCTGGAAGTCGAGGATGAACATGATGACAATGCCCTCCTCATTTTTCACAGGCACAATATCCACCAGGCAGGGTCTGCAGGTCCCTTTAGAAAGAAAGAGAAAGAGACATTAATAGATAAAGAGGGGGCACTCGGATTTGAACCGGGGACCTCTTGATCTGCAGTCAAATGCTCTACCACTGAGCTATACCCCCATTCATAAATCCTCTTTCACCATCTGATGTCTTTTTATGAGGTCAGGACTTTGAGGGTGGCCATGAGGAAGAACACCACAGGAGGGAGAAAGAGAAAGAGAGAGAGAGAGAGAACTGGAGGATAAAAAGGAGGGACACTGAAAGCTAAAAAAGGCTAAATGAGCAACACTTCCGTCAGGTCTAACTTCACACTGCAATCAGTGTGGTCTAAAAATAGATATGGGGGACAGGGCAGATCAGAAAAACACACACACACACACACACACACACACACACACACACACACACACACACACACACACACACACACACACACACACAGAAGAACAAACAGCTACACACACTGAGTGCCTGCATTCAGTCCTATTCATCCTCTGGACAGGAATTTAGTCCGGAGGTAAAGAAAAGAAAAGCAGCCTGTGAGAGACTTGTTCTGAATCATTGTATCCACTTGTTTGGAAATTTTTCTGCCTGTTCAGATTGGGAGCACAGTAGGAAGCAAGAGACAAAACAAATAGATGCTTAGTGGATTTGAGCTGGCATGCTGATCACATTTCCATGACAACAGCTCTCTAGACTGCACTCCTCATGCCCAAACGGCCAAAGTAACAAAAGAAACGTGTGTGTGTGTGTATGTCTGTGTATGTATATAGAGAGTAAACGTGTTTGGGTTTATGGTGGGTGACTGTGATCGTCCTGAGCCTGGTGTGTTTGCTCGGCCTCCATCATGTGTTTCTGCCTCAGTGGTGGATAAACAGGTGAACAAGGAATTCACAGGTGAAAGAAATCAAGGAGGTGAGACGCACACCTCCACACAGGTCGGCCTGCAACTGGTGGAACCATTAATATTAAGTCAGAGAGTCAAGAAGACATGAAGCTTTAAGAGGAGCGAACACTCAGTTAAATGCCAATATATCAACTAGGGATCAAAAGTTTAAACGTCTGAATTGCTGTGTTATTTCTTTACGTTTTCACACTCAGTTCCCTCATTATAATTTTAGTACCACCATCTCCTAATTCTACTTTTGTTTGCACATAGCTTTTCAAGATCAAAGTTGTGCACTAAAGATAAATATGAGGATATGGAAGAAAGAATGAGACAGATTGATAAAGGAGATGAAGACGAGAACGGATTTCAGTTCAACCAACAAATCAATATGGCAGAAGAGGAGAAGAGGAACAGGTTTTAAAACCAGATTAAGAATATGATGCTGAATCTGCCTGCCTGGTCTCACTGGGGAGGTGACTCGGTGCCAAGAACCCACTATGTGATTTAAACTGATTTTCAAGACCGTAGGGCGACTGTAGTGATTTGCAAAAAAATCCCCAAAAAATATGACAGGTCACTATGAAGGCGGCCACACAGGATGTGAGACTAAGATTACTTTCATATGAATCGATCACGTTAGACGCATTTCATTTTTATGATTAAAATCATATTCCAGAAATTAAGAGCAGCGACTGGTAAAAACAACAGCTGGAGGGCAAAATAGTGGAACATATGGATGATTATGGTGCATTTTAATAACAGTCAAGCTGTCCAACAGGTCAGACTTTGTGACGACCAGAAGGCTCCCACTCAGGGACCTGAGGTTGCAAACAAGCTGACAGGGATTTTGAATGTTTTCATTTCCCTCCTCCCTATGTTTCACCTTTCCTCTCCTTTCCCCCTGTGTCTTACCTTCCTTAGCGTAGTACAGGATCTCCACCTTGCGCTCCTCAGAGCCAAGCAGTGCCTGTGCCAGCTGGGCCAGGGCGCTCTTCATGGTACCAGGCCCCACCAAGAACTGGCAGGTACATGGCTGCTGCATGATCTCCGCCCTGGTGAAACCAAACATCTGGCAGAAGCCCTCGTTGCAGTAGATGATTCCACAGTTCTTCATCTGGGCATTGGCGATCAGAAATTTGCGATCTGAAGAGCGACAGAAGATTTCTCTCATATCTTGGTTTAGAAGGCAAGAAATAAAAGTTGAAATATTGACAGTGACTGTGGGTTTAAGTTATAAAGTAACATCAGAAACAAATTTGTTGAAACTTGTTTCTTACTTGAATATTAAAAGGAAACAATATATATTTTCTGTCAAAACAAAATACATTTAAGCATTTCTTTTGTTAACCCTAACCCAAAGCAATGAACACTGTAAATTATTGCCCAACCAATACAGGAGTTTTGAAATGTAAAAGTTAAAAAAGTCAAATGGTGATAACCAATATTCATTTTGTTACTTAAATACATAACATGAACAAACATTTTTGATAAGGCCATTTGTTTTTGAATTGTGACCAAACTAACCGGGACACTTCAACGTTTAGGTACAGATATGTCAGTGGTATTGGCTGACAAATGCACCAATACCAATATAAACAATATTGATCCAATTAATAAGCTAAAATTTCCAAAAATATGGCCCAAATTGTGATCACTATTAACTATGGCTGAAAACATCTGACAGGAAAAAGGCAGAACAAATGAAACTTATCTGACTGGAAACATACCAAAGCACAGAGCAGTTTACACACTGTGTAGGGGCTTTATCAAAAGGCATAAACATTAAGACATTTAATTGTGGGACAGTAGGATAAGAATGGACTTGAGAAAGGCTGGTTAGCCAAACCATGTAACTGATAGATAAACTGCAAATTTAATGTCTTAATTGAATTAATTAAGCATTTTGAACACACAGTCTTAATGATAGAGGAAAAATAACTTAAACGTTTAGGGTTAGGTTGTATCATGGTTAGATTTGGCTGCTGCTTAATTTATAAGGGATAACAAAACTGAATTATTAAGATTTTGGATCGTTATAGTTGATTTTTCTGTACCAGGAAAGAAGTAGGACAGAGTAGATAAATTTAACTTGCTTGCTGTGGCTATCCAGTTAGCTTGGCTTAAAAGGTACCGTAAGTGTAAGGGCTAGCTGGTTAGCATGCTAACTTCAGCAGAAGAAAAGAAGTGATTGGAAAGTGATTTGAAAATTGGCTGCTTTCCACCGCTGGAGAATGCTCTTGGCGAATAAAAGAATTAAGTTTGATGTTAAAGTCGTGAGGTTTCCTCTAGACATGTAAGTAAACAGCTGTTAATGCTAATGGTGGCTATGTAGCAACAGCAAAAACATAAATTTAGCACCATTAAATTAACCATGTGGTTTTCATTGCTTTTTTGAAGCTCTGCAAACTTTACATGCTCTCCTCTCTTAAATGATACATTTCTATGGGACAATAATATTTTACATCGTAAAACAAATGTCAAGAAGTCTGAATGTGTACTTACTACTGTTTGGCTTTGTGGGGCAGTACAGGTTCCTAAAAAAGTGATCCCATTAGATCCAGCTACTTATAAAAAAGTAAATAAATAAACAAAACACGTGTTTATCTATTCCTTACTTCAATTTTCTCATTTTAAAGTATTTACAATGTATTTACAATTACACTGTTTTAAGATTTAATCAAATACAATAAAGTACAGGGTGTTCGTCTTCTGCATGTCTTTGTATCTGATGAGGTCTGCCATGATAATGAACAAGCTTCCTCCTCTGCACTCCACAATCAGCTGAAGTGGAACTAATGAACTCCACCTTTCCATGGCGCTAATGCTATTAGCGTCACAATTTCCCCCCAGGGACTGAGGAGGAGCAGGTGGGCACTTTAAGATAAGAGCTTCTGTGGCGTCACGCGTGCTCTCTTGTAACTTGTGGGAATTTACAGGTGGTTGACGTCTGTCAGGATTAGCCTGTAAGATTTTAGCTGGCATTGTTAAATTAATCTGGAATTATTCACGTTTGCCAAGGGGTTTAATTATCTCCCCATATTCTTATACTGCTATACTGTACTTGTTATTATTTATTTGATGTTATTATCATTGATTGTGGTTTTTAATGTTTTTTAATGTATTTATACTTTGTTTTGTGTGTATCTACTGTTCTGTTTTATGTGTTTTTTTTAATGCTTTATATTTTGTTTAATAGCTGTTGTAATCTTTGAATGTTATTTAATGTAGTGTTTCCACATATGGAGTCTACTTGGGCAGCCCACACATGTTTGCCTACAGCCAAATTACATTTTTATATGTTTGTATTCATTACAAATTGGGATGTTAGCGAACAAATGGGTTGTTTATCAGTGGACTCTGATGTGTCTTCCCACCAGCAGATGACCCTCCCTCGGGGGTCAGCCACCACCAATAATCTCTCACCCTGTGGGAAACTGTGGCTGAACAGTGTCAGGTACAACAATAATGGTTATTCCTGGACTGTCAAACGGAGTATCTCAGAGTTACTTTGCACTCAGAAAAAAAAAATCCTTAACAGTAATTCCAAGCTGATATACCATACAGATCCTATTATTGATGATTGAAATGTACGTGGCACCGGCAACAGCCACGATGCCAAAAACACTGTCCACCGTGAAAGGGAATTAGGACAGTTTTGTTCGAAGGCTGCTAATGGAGGAGTTCAATGAGGTAAATGAAAAGTACATACATAACCTCTGCAGCCTCTGACTGGCCCTTTTATTATCCTGTGGTGGAACTGGGTTAAACAGCTCTCCCTGTTTGCTGCCCACACAGATGAGAGGAGGGGACTTTTCTCTCTGTCCCTCTCTTTAAAGTAAATGGGTGAGCTCCTCTGGTGGAAAGCACATCCTGTCCAAAGTCATTATCTGGGGCTCACAGCGAAAACACTGATCGTCACACCGTTGCTAAGCAGCACCACTGTGGCACGTGCACTCACCTGGTCGTGCACGTGGCTGCGCGTGCACACACACACATTTGGGGACATACAGTAGAGGGATTACATAATCGATTCTTTCTCTGAGGTGCACCACATTTACAAGCATTGGCCCCAGATCTGATCAGACTAATGCAAATTGACAGTCAACTATTTCTCCATGTTTGCTCAGTATCTGATCAGGACCTTACACATCCAGTCTACACTCTAAGTGATCCACCGTGAGATAAAGTGTGCTTTAAGGGGGGAAATGTGACAAGAGGAAGGAGAAAGACTGACTCAAAAGGTAGACTGAAGAGCAGACAATGTATTTTTTTTAATACATTGGGTGTGTTGTGTAGCTTCTTTATTCTACGAATGATATTAACAGAGGCGTGACTGACTGATGTACAATGCGGGATGTGCAAAAGATACACAAAGGATAGGCCTCAGAGGTTGCAGGAGAATGGAGTCTTTTTTCTTCCTAAATGTCTGTCTTTGCAGCCAGAGGGCTAATGGAACATAATGTAAGGCATCATGTGAGCACTCGCAAACACACATGCAGGTGCGGTAACATACAGGTGCCTCAAACATAAAACGAGCAGCAGGGGTCTGTCAGCATCCCTGATACAAATTAGATAAGGCAGTTCAATGTAACATAAAAAGCCTGTCGGTCTGCCACCTGCTCAGGCTCCAGCAGCCTGAGTGAAAGAGCCCAAATAATATCCAACACAATAAAACTAGACAAAATTATAAGTAATAATGTCACTAACTCAAATGAACAAAAGAAAGTCACGAATTAAATTACACTTAACAACCAAAATGAAAAGGTTGAACCCATTCATTTATGTAAAAGTACACCCAACACTGCAACATACAGGCCACAATGCTTTATTTTAACTATCATGAGGTACATTTCTTTCTGCAGAGCTCATTATTCCTCCTGATGACAACCATACGCTGTCACAAACTCCAAAAACAGGAGCTACTAAAACCACGCTTTCTTTCCACATCTGTCTGAGGCTAACACCTTTAATCCGACTAATTAGAGGCATGTTATATACATTATATCATATTACACATAATGAAAAATGATCTATCGTTATCGATATGTAGGATATCTTCAACGTTTTCCTGTTGCTGTTGCTTTTATTGGTTAAACAACACATGGTCATAACTTCACTCATTTCATGTGCACTTACTTTGCTCGTCGAATTTCCTGATGATAGTGTCCAGGTAGGTGTTCTGGAGCGCAACATGACCGCGTCTCACAGGCATTTTGGTGCTGAGAGAAACGACCTCTCCGACACATGAACCTTACTATATATATATATTTCAAAATTAAAATAAACAAAATAGAAAAGAGGTTTAAAAGGGTAAGAAAAAAAAAAGAAAAAAAAAGAATCTGCTTCCACTTGGAGGACGAGCGTAAAAAGCGGGCTTTTGTTCCTCGCAGGCTGATGCTGATGGTGAGGGGTGAAGCGCAGGAGGATGACAGAAAGGAGGTCTGGTTGCCAGGGCGATAGCAGATGCAGGATGTTGCACGCTGATAATGTGAAGAAAAGTAGACTAAAATACTGCAAAAGCCATATGCAACATCATTTAACCTTTAAAAAGAAAAACAAACAGTGCATAGTACATAGTTCCCACGATTTGAGGTCCTGGGGGGAACCTGTATTTGGGGGAAGAAGTTGTGAACAGCAGCAGCAGCAGCAGCAGAGCGCAGAGATCTCTCGGTGTGTTTTATAATCGCAGGATTCTCCCTCAAGTTTGGACACTGCACGATAAGGATGTCGGAGAAGAAGCTCCTATTAGCCAGATTCCCTGGATCCACTCCCCTTCCACCGCCCCCCGGCTCGACAAGAGCGGTTGTAAGCAGCGGCAAGTCAGCCTGAGTAAGCAAGGACAAAGTGGAAGTGAGGTTTAATTAGTCTTTCAAAATAAAGTCTATTTCATTCCCCCGGAAACACGCTTAAGGGGAAGTTTGTTTGTCTCTCCAAGATGCTTGGTAGCAGCTTTATGAGTTAATAGGTCTTCGCGTAGCCATGGTAACCCTCCGCAAATTTGGTGTGGTAAACCCAGATTATTTATTTGATATAGGCTAGTCTCAAAATTTGTCACAGTGCCACCCAAATCCCATATAAAATAAATGTTATATGCATTATAACTGCAACCAATAATTGTTTCTTTTATCAGTTAATGATTTGGCTAAACAGTTAATTAATCGTTTAATCTATGAAAACAAAATCAAGATATTCAGTTTACAGCAGAGTGAAACAGGAAATGCTCACATTTTAGAAGCATGAAGCCAATCATATTTGGCTTTTATTCCACTTTGCTTTTAGATACTGTTTTTTTTTCTTCCAATGAATTAACTTATCATTTCAGTTTTATTTTACATTCAAATTCTTGACCCAGAAATTCTTTTTCATAGTCTCTAAATTTGCTATTGGTGCGACCAAATATTTAAAAATATAACAAGATTTTATATCTTTTATATCTCTTTTTTATATTTATATAGTAAAGAGGCAAGTATTTAAAAAGATACACCATCTGGTTTTTGTTATAGTTGCCTGAATTTTTTCTCAAATTCCCAAAAAATTTCAATTATCAAGATCAAGCTCAAGATATTTTAAGATTGCATAGGATGGTATTTAAAAATAGGCCTATGGATTTAAGGGTTATAAAATAAGAAAACAACAAATTTCACAATCAAGGATTTTGAGGCACAATATTTATTAGGATATATTAGGATTTGGAGACTTTGCATGAGCCAATACTTAAATAGAAAGTATTTCTTGTTTTATTTTGGAATCCATATACTGAGGTTGTGTTTATTGCACTGTGGATGACTTGACAGCGGTCTGACACTGACAGAGTGCAGACCCTCATCGCTCTACTCTGCTTATTCGACATCACAAGTCTCTGTGCTCAAAATAGCAGCATCCTCTTTCTCTGTGACTGCCATCACACTATAGCCATGATAAGCTTTGAAATAACACTCTTGTGTTGTATGGTTGTATGTGTGTGTATGTGTGTGTGTGTGTGTGTGTGTGTGTGTGTGTGTGTGTGTGTGTGTGTGTGTGTGTGTGTGTGTCTTAGTCTGGCGTCCCCTTTAAATCTTTAAAAAAATAAACAATTTCAGTTTGTATGTTTAAGGAGTGTGTCTCTGTGTTTTTTAGATGTACTTCCAGTGGCACAAAAGGATGCACTGTGATATTCCTTTTTTTCTTTCGTTACAACATTATGAATCACTCACACTGATGAGCTGGAGAAGTGCCAATAAAGCAGAAACAGACCCAAAAAAGGGTCAGAAATGAAAAAGGAAAATAAATCATGGTCGTACAGTCTGGTGAGGAGATGAGGTGCTCTGCTAGGCTTGAGACTGTGAGACGGGCAATTTGCTGTCTAGATTTTATTGTAGCACAGGCAGACATGCAAACTGCAGTGGACCTGGGTGACATGACTCGATCTGCATTACAAATGTGACAAAGTCAGACTTGGGACTTGTGATACAATTTTGATCAATTGTGTTTTCACCTGGATTCCAGTCTCTTCTCCCTGAGCCCAAACAGGTACCAGCAGTGAACTCTGAGACAGAGCCGACATTCAGGCCAGAGTTTCATTTGGGTGCCCACTTAAAGGTCACCTGGAGAGGCTCCAAGTGTCTTCTTGAGACACACTGAGCATTGTTAGTTTTGTTAAACAACATAGCGAAGTTTCATTGACCAACTGAGTCTGATTGATGTTTACTATTGAGCGGTATTTACAGGTCAGCCTCTTGGTGGGTACACACACCGTACATAATGCCTGCACTTATTCCTTTGACTTAATCTAAAAAACTTAATGATATATATTACCTCTGCCAAGGATGATTTCATCCATCTCTGTTGGTTTGTTTGTTTATTTATCAGCAGGATTAAACAGAAACTACTGAACTGAATTAACAATTCACTCATTTACAAACGTGATGGAGGGATGGTGATCGGGTCAGGGAAGGGCAGTTCCAGTTAAAGGGGCAGATCCTGGAGTTTGTTATCACCTGTTGTAACATTGCGAGATAGGGCGTTTTCGTCAATGTCTCAGGAAATCACGTTTGTATCTTGATCTAAACATATCGACATCTATGACTTTGTATAACTTCTGAAATACAATCTGGATCTGGGGGAAGAAAATGTTTGGCCTTGGTGGAGGAATGCGTGCTACCAAGTCCTATTGTAGTTCCATAGGATATCTGAGCTTTACAGAGTCTAGATGTGACCTATCTTTATCTAAATCATTAAAACAGACCATTAGGAGACCATTCATGACCTGCTGAGCTGGCAGGTTGGTGACCTACACATCTGAGAAGTCATCGCTCCACTTTGTCCAAAGAAAAGTATTTTGTATGAGCACATGCTCGCTGATACAGTGGTTCAGTCCGTAAAGGGTGTTTGGAGATCAGAGGGCGAGTGGGTTCACGGTCCGGTAGACCGACTGAGGTGGTTGGTCTGTGTTTTGTCTCAATGGCCTTGATGAAATGAGGGCTAAAATTAACCCAGGAGAACACATGCCTTCCCATGACCCTTTGGTGTGAGAGCCAAGTGAGACAGGAATGTGCACGAAAGAGGGCACATGTTAGTTTGTCGTACCTGCTATTTACACATATGAGAACCTTACCTTGTCTGTTTATTGTGTGATTATTGGTCAGCAGGATGTCTCAAAAACGTGAAGTATACTAACTACACAGATGTCCGTGGATTTCGGCGATAGGTTTTTGGTGCGGATCTGCATCAGTAGGTCATCAAGAGTACTGAGAAACACAAGACAGGGCATAAGTAATTGTCCATTAACCATTTATCAAGTTATCAAATTTGGAAAATCCCACATTTTTCTTTCATACTGTATATTATATGGGCATTGTTTTTATGATCAGTTTGTCTCCTTTTATTACTCGATAAATCAATTTATCGTGAACTTCAATTTTATGTCCTCAAGCTGCTGGTTTTGTCCACAGCAATGGCACAAACCCCATTGATTTATACCCATTTATACAAACAAAATTAGCACAACCCACAACTGAGAAACTTGATGTTTGACATTTGCACAAAAATTATATATAGTGAATGAAAACTTGTCAAAAAAGTTGTTCTCTGTCATGTGATTAATCGGTTTATTGTCTAAACTACTCCTCAGTAATGCTGTAATGTATTTTGATGCAGGTTCAGCTCAGATGCAGCTTTAAAATGTTTGATGTTTTTCCATCAGCGTTACAATATATATACTGCCTTGGTGGTGGTATGTGCTTTCTACTATGTTGGAATTGTTTGCTGCACCAATGAGACCCAACACCAGCATTCCTTAAGGAAGTAAGGAATGTCTTGCTGGAAGAAAACTACATAAAAATTATAATGAGGGGTATTTTCAGTCATGTGCACATCCGCTGGATGTATTGTCTGCGCTTGTGTATTTCAACAAAAAGGGTTGGCATTTTCTAACAAGACCACGTGCTCTTCATGTTTTCTAGAGCTTACATGACAGCTGTTGTCGCCTCGCACCGACTATGGAAAGATAATGAACTTAAAAATGCCCATCTCTGTCACCTTTCACCCCTTCAAAGCCGTGTGGAACAGGGCTGGATGGGAAAGTGTTTCAGAGCCAGACGTCAGAGAGTTTTATCTGCCTGGAATTCCTTCAGCTCAGGGTCACCTTCAGTGCAGACCTGAGAACCTCCATTCCCCTGATAAGAGCCAGGCAAAAGAGATACGTACTGTACTTTACACACACTGAGCCACTCCTCAAAACACACAAACACACATACACACACACACACACCACTCCAAAGGAAAATGAGAGGAGAACATATTTATCTACAGAGGCATGATTTGCGACTAGTGCCACATGTCATCAAGGCTGTTGTCCAAGCAGTAGTATATGTCTGATTCAGGGTTCGGGCTGGAGAGCAGGACAGGTGACTGGGCCAGGTTGAGGCTGAGTGCAGGGGGACCTTGTGCTGTCCTTTGTAGACAAACCAGTGAGCTGGATGAGTCAGGACATGGGACAGGCAAGCGAGAGTGGACCTGAGGGACAGGTAAACTGGAATTAATGAGATTCAAGAGAAAGAAAACAAGATTTTTCTGGGCAAAAGTTGGCTGAAAGAGTGGAGTGAAGAGCTGGTCTTTATACACTGCAGAGTCTTGGTGATGTGATGAGCTGATCAGGAACAGGTGCAAGGGTGGAAGTGTGGATTGGAGCTGTAACGCCCACGCCCACCAATCACAGACAAACAGAAACAAACCGGAGACAAAGAAGAAATAAGAGACAGGTTCACACAGCAGAAACATGGTGGGGGGTGGGGGGGGTTCAAATCTGACCCATGGCCCTTTGCTGCATGTCATCCCCTCAGTCTCTCTCCCTGACTTTCCTGTCTATCTCACTGCACTATCAAAAATAAAGGCAAAAATGCCCAAAAATATAACTTAAAAAAAAAAAAACCTAGAAGATAAACAAATGAGAGGACATGATCTAACATTTGAGCTCTTTATTCCGCCTGAGGAAGAGATCTGTGCTCAATATATGCTGTTTATCTGTTTGTTAGATTATAACTGCCCCTCTATTCCTCTTCATGCTTCTATTTAACCCACAGAATCAATACAAATGTTCACTCTGTGCAATGAGCCTTCATTTAGACGATACTCTGAGCCATTCACGCTCTGAGCCGGTCCTTTTCCAACTCTTTTTTTCAATTAATTTTCCATTATCAAAAAGATTTTTTCACAGCATATGGCACTTAAAATGCTGCTTGAATCCTCACAAGCTGTACAGTCACCATACTGGATTCTGACTACGACACAGCCAGAGTCAGTTTGTTCAAGCTTTTTCCTAATTGGGAGAAATTTCTGTTATTGCAATAATCAAGCAGCCCTCGAGAAGATTTGGAGACTCAAACAGCTCTTAAAAAGGATGTGAGTAACGGAAAATGTAGGACGTGTTGTGTATTATTTCAACTCAGTAGTCACATACCCGCATGTACACTGAACCAGTTTTTGGTTGCTGTAATCATCCCTCCCATGCTAGCTCTTATTAACATGCTTCCAATGGATTATTTGAACTTTAGCAGAGTTAATCAAATCAAGTCTTTTAAGTAAAACAATCCCTCTTAGTGTTTTTTGCTGACCTGCAGTGGATGGATAACTCATGAATATGGACAGTGAGTTTTTTTTCCACCATCCCTTACCATTAGGAAGTGATCTTTTAATGGACAGCATGAACAGAAGGACTGTTTCAGTGTACATATGCTGAACCTGATCACTGGTTTAAGACAGACTTGAAAACGTGTGAACCTATTCTTTCATCACTCTCAAACAAACCACACCAAACTCCAAAGTGAGCATGAGGGCAGGATAAATTGAATTCCTAGATTACGATCCCTTGAAATATTTTCCTCCTTCCCTGTCAATAAAATCAATCCATCAAGTGCAGGTGTTTATTTGCATCCCAGGCGACACTATTTTTGGCCACAAGTACCTCTCTGCCCGGACATACAGTAACACTCATAATGAGCTGTGACATTAAAGGAAGTGAACCCATCTGCTTGGCGGTACAGCTTGCCTAATGGGCAGGAACAATCAGTTATGATGAACAGTGCCTGTCTGCTTCTGTCAGCCCTCTAATACCCTTAACTGTCAGCACATAGAAAAGATGATGATGTACTGTGTCAGTGTTAAATCGGAGCAACCATTTTGAAATATATTAAACAAAACAAGAGGCATCAATTCTAACAAAGAAAATGTTTTATTGTTGTTAAGTTAACATGATGTCATGGTTTGCAGCATTGGTCAAAACTAATGTTATATTCACGTCTGCAGAGGTTTGTTCTGAAAAAAGCTGCATCTTTGCTACAAAAGTCAGAATTTCTATTTAAATCGACATTCAAAAAAAACCCAAAAAAAACAAAACAAAACAAAACAAAAAAGAATACGAGAGCGGGCTGCATGTTAATGGGAGGAGGAGGGGTTGTGTGGTGGAAGGTGAGGAGGGGAGAAGGTGGGAGGCACATGAGAACACGAATCAGTGTGTCCTTGGCGATGAGCACAGAGACAGGCGGCTTCAGCGTAGCACCACTCATGAGCGGCAGGACCTGTCAGCACGGCTACAGTCGGCAGGGCCTCCCAAAAAAAAAAAAAAAAAAAAATCACAAGATGTGACGTCCATCCATCCATCCTTAGATGCAGCCTCCTTTACCCCAACGTCCTCCACAAGGGTTCCTGGTCCATTTCTGTTGCGGGTTATCTTCCCAGCACTGTCCTCCATCTCTGTGTCTCTCTCTGCTATCAGTAAAACACTAGAGAAACTGGCTGGTGAATTTGGAGGAGGGAGGTTGGTGGATTAACTGGAAGCTGGAGGGCAAAGGTCGAGTCAGTTTCCAAACACCACTTCCAACCCAGCTCTGTCCCTATCACCTCTGCTAGACAAGTGGGAATACCCTGACACGCTCTGGTGTCAAAAAATGATGATGTCTGTTATCAGGTTGTGTTCAAGAGACAGAATATGCCACCGGCTGAGTGTGTGGTGGATAAAAAAGGCTGCAGAAGAGTCGAGGTAAATTCATGTAGGAAACTTTAATGGCCCTACACACTCAGTTGTTCCCGCTTATTCTGCTGATCAGACTACTTCTCAGGACTTTGATCAATGAATATAAATTGATTGCTCAAAGAGATTCAGAGAGAATTCAGGCAAAGGTTTTTACAGGTGAGATAAATGGATCACTGCAATTTTGCGAGACAAATTTGCAAGACAATTGGAATGGTTTTAGTGTCATTTTGGACTCTGCAGCGATTTCTCCTTTATTGCCTTTCACCATCTCAGTATGTCTGATTATGCAAATTAACCCTGCTCTGTTCTTGTGGGCTGTCAGGCTTTGCTTAGTGTACTTTCTCTTTGTCAGACTAAGTTACATGCAGAACACTGCACCTATCTGTAAAGTCAGTTCCTGGCCACAGTGTCTACACATTCAGAGCGGCCGCAGCGGATCTAAGACAAATCCCAGCATATCGCTGTCCAATTCAAACCTGAGAACAGGTCTAATCAGTAACAAGAGAGACTATGTGAAAACACTTTTGCACGTGTGCAGGACCTTTAATACATGAGGCGACACCTAAGCAGAGATGGCTGCCGCTGCAAAGGAATGAAATGTAAGATAGCACCAGTCGAGGTTTAAAAATGCGCCCAGATTCACCTGTCATCCTGCCAAAAGCTGCTCTAACATACACAAGTCTCTCGTCCCCCTACCTAAATCCAATTCTAACGTCTGCAAACCCCCGACTCCTTCTTGTACTTCCCTTGCAAAATTTCACATACACAATAACCACATGTCAACCTCCACCACGCTACATATTAGCTGAACACGACGGCTACATTTCAAGGCCTCCTCTATGGCAGCTAATCTGAAACAATGCTAAAAATCTGGTCTGTCAGTCTGAGTTAAAATTAAACAGATTACCAGTCAATTCCTGTAGTTGTTATGGCCTAGAGCCAACTCAAGCTAACAGTGGAGCTGTACAAAAAGTTAAACATGGATGTTTTTGGCAGAAATTGTAGCGATGAAGTCTCAGAGTGTCTTACGGTTATGATATGGTTGTAGGACAGTGGACAGATTAATCTAATGATGACGATCAAGGTAGAGAAAAATTAAATGATGTAATGACTGCTTTGGGGTTTGGAAATTAAAAAAAAATGTAATTCAAAATCCTCATATTTTGACTGAGGATGAGATGGGAGAGCTGGTTGTAAAACTTTAAGGAAGATCTTTGTGTTCAGTGGTTGATTCCTTAATGATCTGGAAAAAAAAAACAAGAGATCAGAGTTTTAAAAAAAACAAATCTCTGGTGAGTTTTTGTATTAGTCGAACAAGGCATCAGGTGTGGAGAGCCACAGTGAATGATTGTGAAAACCTGCAGAAGGGTTCAACATTGCCCTCCAGAGGGATTGGGTAAGAGGTGCAATGTGCAGATTGGCCTGCTTCACTGTGAGTGTTGTTCTGTGAAAGCGCATACCTCCCCATCTCTGGTCTCCACAGTTCGAACCAGGATGCTCCTCTTCACGTGGGCCTCTGGGGTTTTGGTGTCCAGATTAGTTTCTAGAGTATGAACAGACGGAGTGAGAGAGAAAAGGGGAACATTCATTGCAGTGCAGTGGATGGAAGTTTATTATCTTCTGCTTAAAGGTCTTTTTTACTGTGCCTTCAAGTGCTATCACATACAGTAATTACAATGTGTTAAAAGGATGAGGATGTAAGAGTCACCCCCTAGGGAATCCAGCAAGAAAGGCCAGAATATCCAGTTTTCCAAAATATAACATTGAGGGGACATCTGGACAGTCACCACATCTGGGTAGCTATGACAATTCTTATGGGTATTAATGGTGTCCAGAGGATAGTTAGGCTTTATTTTTTTCCCCTATTGGGCTAAAATTTCCAGTTCACCAAGACTTATTTTTATCACAATATATCAGGAAAACTAATGACAGAATTTCCTACTGTTTTTACCAACCCCCAACCTTTTCTATAGTCTCACCATCAAACCAGAATTTCTACTTTTCTACGAACAAGCATTATCCAGATAAACTGATTGTACTGATTTTCATCCCCTTTCAAATTGTATGTAAAAACAAAAGCAGCTCGATCAATAAGGGGAAGAAAAGACATGGGTCACAATTGATACTGACCTCTAAACTGCAGGTTGGAAAAGCTCTGAACTGGAATAGTGATCCTGGAGGAAACAGATAAGGAACCACAATATCATATATACTTGTTTACATTCGGTGCTTGTGTCATAACCAACCAGTCCCACCAGGCTCTGGCTCACCTGCTCTCCTCTCCCTCCAGCAGCTTCCTGTAGGTGGCAATCTCAATATCCAGGGCGAGCTTGACGTTGAGGAGGTCCTGGTACTCCTGCAGGTGCCTCGCCATCTCCTCCTTCAGCGCCTGGATCTCTTCCTCCAGACGGCTCACCGAATCCTGGTAACCAGCGGTATCCATGGCGAAGCGGTCCTCCATCTCCCGGAGCTGACGTTCCAGAGACTCGTTCTGAGGGAGGAGAAACAAGACATGAGTGATGAGCTGAAAATCCAGTAATGAACACCAGCAACCAGCCTCTGCTGTAGTTGACTGAGTTTCACTTGATGTTCTACTCAGATTCTGCTGCCAACACTAACAATTTTAGTTTTACTGCTTCCATTACTGTGTCCTCTGTTACTACTATTGTTACTACTACTACTACTGCTACTGCAAATCTACCCGTAACTGCCACTGTTGCTACAACTACTTTTTTGGTCAGCCTTCTTCTTCTGCTGCTGCTTCTATTATTTCTGTTACTGCTTTTTACCAGGACTATTAGCACAGTTGCTTCTCCTACGTGTGGCTCTCCAGCACAGTGGACTTAAAATGAAAAAATGACAGGTGATGACAAGGTTAGAGTCAGCTTTAAGGTTGTTTGAAGGTGTTCACTGAACAGTGCAGGACTTGCAAACCTATTTTATAGTTTCCCAATTTTTGAAGAGTGCAACTGGACAATGATCCTTACATGGCAGCTAGCATAACGCTAATTATAGTCCATTAGCATGTCCGATGTTAAAATAAAGATGCCAGCAAATACGAGGCTTAAACCTGGCTTAAAGTTACCACCAAGTCATGTACGGTGGTGTCATCACTATAGAACCAGCTGATCAATCACCTTTTGTGGCTGTGCTCAAACTAGTAAAATGATATCTGTGAATTTTTATACCTCTATACTAAAGATACAAATGCATGACTGATTATCAAAAAAACATGAAAGTTTTATTAAGGGTAGTTTGGTCCCAACAGCAACTTGTTACACTGCTCACCTGATGTGGATGTAAACATCCTCAAATCTACTGTGATAGAATACAGAGCCACTGTGTTACTGGCTCTGACTGCACTGTAATCTTATGGGGTCAAATTCTCTCATTTGAATCACAAAATGTAACTGAATATGAAACGGAAGAAGAAGAATCATGTCCCTCCCATCACAGATGGCAGACACTGATTGGAAAACGAATGATTAGATAATACAGTGGCAATGTTTCACACGGTCTTTTCTGTGGTTTGGAGGACTTACTGTCCCACGGAGAGCTTCCAGGTCACAGGTCACCACTTGGATCTGGCGGCGATATTCGTTTGCCTCCTGCTTGGCTTGGCGCAAGGCTTCAGCGTTTCGATTGGCTGCATCTGTCAGGTCAGCAAACTGTGTGCAAAGACAAACAGTCCATCAGCCTCAGCCTCTAAGTCTGTGCGATGTCCTTTGCTTTATATATATATGAGTCTCCTCATTTAACTGTTACTATTGTATCTAATGTTATTTGATGCTGTATCACTCGACTTCTCAGTGCTATATACTTCATAAAAGGCATATCTGAGTCTTCTGACCTTGGATCGGTACCAGTCCTCTGTCTCCTGCATGTTTGAAGAGGCCATGGTTTCATATTGGACCCTGATGTCTCTCAGAGCAGCAGTCAGGTCTGGTTTGGACACATCCACATCAACATGCACCTGGTGGGCCATGATCTGATCCTGTAGCTCACGTAGCTCCTGAGGTTGGGACAGGGTATTGGAAAAAAGGTTAAGACCAGAGTAAACATTTAAATGCGTTACACAGATGTGATTAAAGAAATTGATTGTTGATATTATGTTAATTAATAGTAATTATAGTTAAAGTTCACTCACGATCCGTCTTCTTTTAGTTTTATTCTTACCTCCTCATGAGTCTTCTTCAGGAAGTCTATCTCATCCTGCAGGGCATCGATCTTCCTCTCCAGCTGGACTCGGTTTAGAGATGCCTCATCCACATCCTATATGCAAACAATGAGGCACGTAGAGGAATGAGCACGGACAGTCAGATATATTGAATGTCTAAACTATTTAGATCATGACTCCAGGAAGCAGAATTACCTGTCTGAAGGCATTCAGATTATTCTCTGCATCCTGTCGGAGGCCAATCTCATCTTGCAACCTGAGTAAATCACAAGAAGGAATAAAAGCTTGAAATAAAGATGGAAGACATTACATTGACTTACATTGATTTTCTGGAGATTTACTCTAACTGTAACTGTAACTACTACTACCCCTAATCCTAACCCTTACTCTAACCTTACGAGTCCCCATAAACAGACTTAGGTCCCCACAACATGAGAAACACCTGGCCCACAAACACACACACACCAACAACAACAACAACAACAACAACAACAACAACAACAACAACAACAACAACAACAACAACAACTTATTTCTCTGCCAATGTTCATGAAAAATCCCGTGAACAATATTCCAGTTTTTTGTAGTTTATTTGTTCACATAATTAGCAAGATTTTTCAAATGACTACAACATCCAAAGTCTTTTTTTATGTTTGTTATGTGCATTTGTTCTGTTGAAACTAATACTAAAACTTAATAATTCCTATATTCATTGTTACCTATACTGTCTATAACTCAATTTTTTGGGACATTTTTAATTAACATAAACTCTAAAACAGTTTTAGCTTTTTTCTGGGCGCCTCCTTTATGAGAAACAAATGTACAGTATTCTGAAATTCAAATGAGACTTTCTGTATAATAAAGAGTCAAACTGTGAGGACTGAAAACATACTTCAAGCATTTTGATCAGATTTTACTGTGAACTTCAGAGCTGCTCCCCGTGCTGCAGGGGACGACGGGGGCTCAGCTGAAAGGGCAGCTTACGCATCATTACACATTCACTCCAATATAACAGCCAGAGGCCTTTCCCACGGGATGGAGCTCACACACACATATACACACACACGCACACGCACTCACACACACACACACACACACACACACACACACACACACACACACACACAACAAGGATCCATACACGCACAGCCTCTCACACAGACACGCAGCACCCTGCAATCCATCTGCCATACACACAGAGTCATGGAAACATAAATGCTCTGACTTGGAGTAACATCTGTACAGTGTCACGCAGAGTTTGCTGAATAGAGTGGTTCGAGGAGAGAAGTAGGAAGCACAAAAGTGGTGACCTTTGACCTTCTCAGCCACGACCATCACTATTCACTCTGCGTCCTTTGAGAGGACCAGCAGCTGCGTGGTAATCAGAGGGCAGAAAGGCATCTGAAGTAAACTTTCAGGGTCGTTCAATCACTCACTCTCCCGACTAAATTAAATTATAGATTCACGCCACTTGTGCACCTTAAGTGAAAAACGCTGGATATGCAACTGGAGGGAATAGTTGTTTTGGAGTAACAGGAGACAAGAGAACATCTGCCTGGCTGTCTGCTCCTTTTGTGAAGGGCTACCATTGTGTTAGCCTCATTCCTCCACACTCAATGCGACGAGGGGTTCAGTCAGGATCAAGTTTGTAAAGAGGGATCCAGGAGTAAAGCTAGGGCAGAGCACAGTGGTCTGCATTCCAACCAATCAGAGACAAACCAAATCTGCATATAAATGCATTTGTAATTTAAAAAGAAAACATTCAACTATGCAACAAACCTGTCTTTTTTTACTCTGGGAGACTTCAAAGCTAGTCTAACTGAACGAATCTTTCTTCCTCTGGTATTTGACAAAATCCCAAAAACAACCAATGCACAGTACCAACACTGAGCCAGAGCCAAGTTAAACAAAGCCTGTTGTCTACACATGTGTGAGAAACCAGTGATGGTGATTTACATTTTATAGGTGGTGCTACTTTGCTTTGAACCGACAAGATGCAAAACCCTAGTAAAACTAGAGTATGAAAAATCTTGCACACTAGAGTGGAAGCTAAAACTAGAAAGTCAGTGTATAAAGCCCATGTACACAGAAGAAGGAGGGTAGAGCTCCTCCTCTGTCTTTTGATTGGATAATTTAAACTTTGTCTTTATGTTAATAAGCTCATTGGTCATAGTTTGTAGCCTTAATGAATTGTTTGTGTCTATTTCTATTCTTAACATATAAAAAAAATTGTGCAAGAATCTTTCTACATTTATACTTTATCTCAGATTATATTATTTTCCAGGGAAACTTACTGTGTAATAGTTTTGATGAATGTTAACTTTAACATAAGTGTCACTTCTTTTATCAGCAAAAAGTACAAATAAGCTAAATAGAAATTATTCTTGCCAATTTGTAAAATACTAACAGCGAAGAAGAGACAGAAGATAGATTTTTACCACTGTGTGCATCACATCAACTCACAGGAGTCCCGCCCTGTTTCCTCCTACCTCTGCTTGAGGGTTCCCACATCTGCAGCCAGATTGTCCCTCTCTATCTCCAGCCGAGCTTTGCCAGCAGTGAGACCGTCCACCTGCCGCCGCAGCTCTCTCAGCTCCTCCTGGTAGATGTCTCCAAGGCGGCTGGGCTCCTTCCCCTTCAGCTGGTTCAGCTCTGCCACCAAAACCTTGTTCTGCTGCTCCAGCAGGCGCACCTTCTCTATGTAGCTGGCAAATCGGTCATTCAGGCCCATCATCTCCACCTTCTCATTGGTGCGAGTCTCCTTGTATTGGGCCTTCATCAGGGAGTCAGCTGAGAAGTCCAGTCGGTCCCCGGGGCTCCCCAGGAGAAAGGCGGCGTTGGTTGAGCCCAGGGAGATCCTGGATACGGGGCTGGAGTGGGTGAGGTTGCGAGGGCTGCCATGCCAGGAGAAGCGGCTGGAAGGAAGGCTCCCAAGTCTGACTCCTGAGGCACTGGAGCCCTGAGGCCCGAAACGCTTCCTGTACGAGGACTGGACTCTCTGACTCTCCATGATTGGGACTGAAGCTCACTCGGGGCACAAACAGAGCTTTTATAGAGGCAAGAGAACCCCCCAAGTGCAAAGCAGAGAGGCCACAGGGTGGGGCAGAGAGAAGGGAGGGTGGCAGGCAGTGAATGGGACAAAAAAGGGAGAGCGAAGGGGTGGTTTACATGACACTCAAAAAGCTGTGCGCCAGGGATTGTCTGTGCTCGTCCACTCAACTACAAATGCTTCTTGGCTTTCTCCCCCTCTCCTCTCTCCTCCCTCCTCCCCGGCCTCTGACTCACTCCCTGTCTCACTCTTACTTTCACCCCTTTTTGTCTTTCTCTCTTTCTTTCTGTACCAACTGAATGAAAAGGAATTTGTGTGACAGGGTCTGGCCACCAATTCAACCTGACCACACATGCGCTCTCACAAAAACAGAAACAGAGTTTGATCGAACAAAGAGATCTTCAATCTAATCAGAGAAAGTACCCGCAGATTGAGAGATACGCGGATGAATAATACTCAGACAAAGAGTAAAATATTAAATGTGGCACATGTAGGATATAGAGTCCAACACATAAACCTGCAGGATTTAATAAAAGTACTTTGGGTCCCACTGTGTGAGGGGACAAAAACAACATGTAAGACAAAACCTCAGAGCTGTTGTCGCTCCTCTTTGGATCACAGTGCATGACACAGTTACATAACAAGGACGTAACAGCTTATGATCGTTCATTAAATACCTGCTTACTCTAATGGGAATAATTTATCATAAAATTAGTTTAATCTTTAATTAAAATCACATTTCTCAGTATTACTGTTTTGGTCAAATAAACAGATGAGAGTCAATTCATTTCCAAGGAATTATGTCATATGCCAAGTATATTGGGGGGGGCATTTTAAGGCTTTAACAGAAACAATAGTGAGCTGACAGGAAATGAAAGAGAGATGCAAAAATGATCCCCAGGTAAATTGTAACCCAGACATTGTGGTTCATGGATCCAAATCTCTCATAGTCTATGCTATATTATTCCATATTTAGTTTATTATTTGGGAACACTTTCCATACACCATGGTCACAGTAGGCAACTGGCATTACCTCAAAAGTTAGACTGAGAAAACATGTAGCTTGTAGTAGTGAAGCTGTACTTTGTGCAGTTGATTCACAAGATAAATGTGAGGCTGCTCATATGAAATAGATACAGCAGGCTCACACTGATTTAAACAATGTAAGCAACAACACTTACGAAATGTGGATCATATATACGATTTTATAACCAGGAAGTCAGCTGTACCCTGTGGACAAGACACGTTTATGTGCCTTCGAAACAGGAAGAATTACCTGGGTGACAGGAAAAAAACTTCCAAAGTGTATTTTGTGCTGCAGACTTCCGTGTCTCAAAATGAATTTTGTGCACAAAAAGCATCGGGCCTACCACCCGTCATCCTGGCAACATGACAAAATATCATGGTACACTACTGTACATCTACATTTACATTTGTACATTTGTTTGACCATGATGCAGCAGGAGCACATGCACACTTCTACTATAGCAGAACTGGAAAGTAGCCAAGACTCCAGCAAGACTGAAGGACTCTGGGGTGTTCACTATGTTTGGGTGATTAGACATCTTATTGGCTCCAAAGACAGATGGATGGTAGAGGCGGGGGAGAGTGGGTTCTGTGGAGGGAGGTGGGGGTTCAGACCTAATCTGAACTCTAGGAGGACTAACAGAGGCTGCGTTACAAAGCCATTTTCATCCATTACCTTGACGACGGCAGGGCCAGCTACGTCAGAGCACTTCAGCTGATCTTTCTCCGACTTCTTTTTGAAGACGAGGTGACTTGTGGAGATGAGATTGTGACCATCTGTTTGCAAGTGTACTTCCCTGAAGACAAGAATGAAAAATGAAAAGTCCTTCGACATAACCACCATCACAACAATTATATTCTTAAAGACACTGTGCTTTACTTCACATTTAGCTTATTCACTGCAAAGAATGTTTGCTTTTATGGAGCTAAAAAAAATATAGCTAAAAACATCAATAAATATTAACTGTTATATAATAAAAATTGATGTAAAAATAAATATACACCTTTATACTTTTCCTTTATCCTCTAATCAATTCTTCAAACCTCAAATCAGTTGATAAAATTACTCCTCTATTGTATTCTATTTATTTATCTAGCTCATTTTATTTTTCAACTCAGTGTTCCTATTTATTTGTCAGGCTCCATAAACTTAACATCACAATGTTACAAACCATCCTTTTGTGTTTTGGGATCAATTTTTTCCAATGTATTTCACAAGGAACAATAAATTTAACTTTGACCACAAATAATCCAGATGTAATAGTCACTTTGATGGATTATGAAACATAAAGCTTTCCAGATATGAATGGAAATCAATGGTTGCCTGTTAGTGGGAAACGGCAGGAAACTCCACTACTGTAGCTACAACATGCATTTGAAAAGTTTCCAGCAAAAATGTAAAGTTTAATTCCTACATTAGTTGGAATTAAAATGTGCAGAAACACTGGCACAGTCATTTAACTGCCTTGTTGCTACAGGTAGTGAAATCACAACAGCAGCAGGATATAAAGGTCCTCTTTGTTACTGGGTCATCAAATCACAGGGAGTGGAAACCGGTGGTACTGGGAGACAGTGAATAAAGCCCTGGGTGACTCTACTATCTGGCTTCTGAGTGTTGTTGCTTTTGAAGAAGAAAATAACAACACAGTGTCTTGAATTCCAATTGGTCTCGGTTAATAGAGGTTAAACAAGATGGCACACTGTAAGTCTGGCAGAGATCTGTTGATTTAAAATGCTCCGTCTCTAAGGATTAATGGCAAGGTTGCATCATTAAGGTGACACTAATTGTTTAGGGCCCTCTGGATTTTTCAGACAATCACGGCCGTTGCCTCAGATCTGGTCACTGAGGTAATATGTCCTGAAGATTAAACATCCACATGGAGAGAGAGGAGAGGGGCGGTGCAGACCTCTACCTCTCCATCCCTCCCTGCTGCTGGAGTCAGAGGAGGGCCAAGTCAAACAGCTGATTCATGTGTCGAACATGAGGAGACCCTCTCATTTGCTGGACTTACAAGGGAAAGGGGTGTGGGGCAGAATCTTAATGCTTCTGGACCCAGACTGATCTCAGGCCAAGGCATCATGGCTGCCAGCTAAACGTTTGACAGAGTAAAACTCAACGCTCGCTTTGTGCTCTGGCATTTTACTCCCAGAATCCCCAGTGTGAACCTCTCCGCTACCAAACTTCAACCCTGCTGATGGATGAATGTACATGGCCACATACCAAAGTGAATCCTGACCAACGAGCTGGAAATACTGTCTCAGCTCCACCTTCGTCACTACATCAAGGACGTCTTTCCTGGACAGGGTGTAAATTAAACGAGGAGCAGGCCTTAATCAAGAACAATAACTCTTGGTTTTAACATTGGCTTTCTGAAACACATCTCAAAGTTTACTCCTAAGGCCTGTACTAAAAGAAACAGGATTATTTTTTTAGCCACTGTGTTACTTTTCATTTGCAAGAGTATCTACAAATTGCACTGTTGGAGGAGTAAAAGCAGACAGAACAAAGGAAGCAGGAAAAAGGACATTTTCACAAAAACATGATGCCAAAAAGCTTGAAGTGATCAACATTTAGAGAGAAAAGTGTTGCAGGTTTTCTTGAAACACAGACGACATAGTCTGGTATCCAATATTGAAACGATCACCACTTTATTGGTATGTGTGAAAATAATTTTGGAAACTGCATGATTTAATTAAAAAAAAAAACATCAAGTGAAGTTTTGGAAATAATTACTTGTTTGGCTGGTGGTGCTTAGTCCCTGATCATCACCGAACTAATCCAAATGATCCACGTGACACTGTTAGAAAACAACATTTATCGAAAGTTAAACCTTCTTCCTCAAACGTTCTCAGCAGTCTCGGTCCACCTCAACTTATTATGCCTGAGTAGATGTTGTCTCAGGATATCTCACTTCTCTCTTGTTAAAGACAAAATCAAGTTTGTCCATATGATGTTTTTTAAATATGACAAGACGTATCATGAGTGAAATAAGCAGTCAACACCATGACTGCGAATTTCCACCTCAGAACTGCATGAACCAATAACAGTCTCATAAAAGCAGATTCAGACAGCCAGGGATTCATACGTAACATACCTAAGGAACCAATCCCGTCAACCTGTGGGGACGAGGGGCGGAGCAAAATAAACCTGAAACCTTGTCAGTACAGAGAGCGAGAGTTTGCATTAGCACAACCACTAACACTGTGACAGCTACCGCCAGTTGCGACAATATAAACAAACAACAAACAAATAAAAGATGCTAACTACGCCAACCGTTCTGATATGTCTGCTAATCGACAATTTTGGTGCACAACAGACTCCTCATCGGAGTCTGGTTCTGACTGAGCCACTTCCAGTTACAAGCTAACAAACAACATAAACAAACTAGGAAGTTTTTGAGCTAAGCAGTTTTTTGGATTGTGCCATACACATTGAAGACAACAGGTGCCTCCACATTGGAGTATACAGGAAACCCACCCACACACACACCAGTACCTACTCTTTGACTCTCAACACCCACTGAAACACAAGCTAGCAGTTATCAGAGCCCTGCAACACCGAGCTGATAATGTGCCAACAAGTGTTCAACAACATCTTCATTCCATTTGTGTCTGGAAAGTTTGCTGCGGTGGACGAGTGGTGTACCAAAAAATAGCAATACAATTACTGAACGTGCAACACTCACCCCCCGACACCTATATAGGCTCAAATTAGGGTGCAAATGATTTTGAACTTGTAAAGTAATGTTTACAAATAATAGCACAATGCAGAGCCCTTGGCATTTTGGAGCTCATTTGTGCAAACCAGTTGTTGGATGTACCTAAGCTATATCTACTCAGGTACAGGTACATATTTGTGCATGTACTGAATTTTAATTTCATGCCACTTTTTTCTTTAATGGTGCACTCACACTGCTGTTTTCACTTATTTGCCAGATGTCTGACCCTCCTGTTATACCTCTTAAAGTGGGAGAGGTTACACAATGAAGTTTGGTGACCTCGCATGAGTCTAGCATCGTCCCAATCTAATTCTATTCTAATTACAAAGAATAAGTGAAAACACCTGTGTGGGAGTAAAGGGCCTTTGAGTGCATTTGATAATATTAGCGTATTTTTACTTAAATAACATGTTTAAATGCAGGACTTTTACATGTAATGGAGTTTTGTTTTTTTTACAGTGCATGGTATTGCTGGTTTTACTTACTAAAGGATCTGAATACTTCCTTTGTCACAGGTGCTGACTTTCTGAACAACACAGGTGAGAGACATCACATGTACAAACAACACAGCTGAATGCTTGGGTGGTAGTGAAGCAGCAAGGACTCATGGGAATGGGCTGTGATGAAAATCAGGGGGCTTAACTGGAACAGACAGGCCGGCTATATGACTCAGCACCACTAGGTCCAAACAGAGTGCAGCCACAAAGAGGGCCAGTGGAGAGCCGGTTCAGGCCCGAAGCTCCAGTCTGCCTGTCAGCAGGAATGCTGGGGGCCCAAATATACCACACAGACAGATCTGCATACCACACAAATACATCCCATAATAAGCACAGCTCGCAGAGATACAAACCCAGGCTGTAAACTGTTCAATCCACATAGCTGTTTAATTATTGATACTCATACTACTGGCCATCAAATCTTTAAATGTGACTGATCATATGCCAGAAATGAGAGAGTTTCACTTAACAAGACTAAGAGGCAAAAGTCATAGCAGCTCGGTGAGGCTGTACCTCGGCAGAGTAGTGCTTTGAGTTAACTTAGACAAAGTTTAGATGAATTTGAGCAGCAAAATACAAGAAAAATATTATCCACTGTAACCATGTTATCAGGTCTTTAACTTTTCCATGTTACCACTGAAAAACTAGAATTACCACCTTGCGGTTTTCTCCGTCCGCCGACCAGCCAAGTTGCAGGAAATATGGATCTCAATCTCTGCTTCCTGAGTTACAGCTTTGAATAACATCACAGTGAAGTTGACCTTTGACCTTTGAGCATCATCATTTTATAGTAGTAGCCGGTGTTAAATTGTCATATTTAGCATATGCAGTCTTGAGTTATGATCAAAAAAGTGTTTTGTGAGGTCACAGTGACCTTGACCTTTGCCCAAATTCGAATCAGTTCGTCCTTGAATTCAAGTAAATGTTTGTGCCAGATGTAATGAGATCCTCCCTGGGGGTTCCTGATATATTGTGTTCACGAGATTTTGAGGTCACCATGGCCTTGACCTTTGACCTTTGACCACCAAAACAAAATCAGTTCATCCTTGAGTCCCAAAAAATCATTTGTACCAAATTTGAAGAAATTTCCACAGGGTGTTACTGAGATACGGCATACACAAGAATGGGATGGATGGACGGACAGTCAACCTGAAAACATAATGCCTCTGGCTGTGGCCGTTGTTGGCATGGAGGCATAAAAAGAGGGCAAACTAGAGTGAATCAATTCATTGAGGGAATATAAACCCAACATGTCAAAAGCAATGCATCTCTGTATCACACCATTGCAAGAAAAAGGCCCTTTGTTCCACACAATCTGTTCTCACATCTCACAGCCAGACACGGTTGCAGAAATCTCCTCTTCCTGTCTGCCTCCTGTTTTTCATCATGAGAAGAGCGACAGAGCAAAAAGAGAGGAAGAAACAAAATGAGAGAGAAAGAGGAAAAACGAGTGCATTAATCAAGTAGCTTCCTACAGCCAACAATGAGCTCAGCCTCCTGTGTCCTTTCATTTACTGGACTCACTCAGTCTGGACAAGCCAGAACTGTCCTCCTACGCATGTAAACAAACTAATAAAAAAACAATCGGACATGATTCTTAAAAACAATTTATTTGTTTTGAAGAGAGGCCATGCCATTTGTGTGTGTGTGTGTGTGTGTATACATATACATATATACACATACATATACACACACAGCATATATATATATATATATATATATATATATATATACACTGTCATTTAACATACTATTCTTTTCTTGCTGTAAAATAAATCTGATACAATTAGACTTTGCACTGCAAGTCCTGTCATGATACATAATCATACATTTATATATACAGATTTCTACCAACTAGTTTGATTTCATTTGCTTATCCCAGGGCCCTTTTTCTTGGAACCACATCTTTTTCCACACTGAACATATTGTAGCTGCCTTTAGCGTGTAGCAGCCCACAGAAATATTGTTGTATTAGCATTAAGGCAGCAGCAAGCCCTGCGCCCTGAAAACCATTTAATACTGGACTCGTTGTGTGAACCCTGGGATAAACAAAGTCGTCGTCTGGGTTGAAGAGCGAACTCTGACATCCAGCACTGGCTCCAATCCTGCTCGTCTTTGGCTCACACACACCCTTTAATTATGTTTTAATAGCACTGAGATCACACACAAAAATATTCCCAGCAGTTTCTTTTGTAAATTAATCCTTTAAAGGTTTCATTCATGAGACCTCATAGATGTTCAAAGTTCTATGGCCAAATGATGTAGAGTTTCCATAACCTGTCAGGTAATACTGTCATCTAAATGTATAGCTAAGGATGCGTGGAATTTTTTTTTTTTGAGCTGGAACAAGAACCAGGCCGCCAGAGTTCGTTTTCCATCCATTTTTCATTTATAAACCCCAATTCTGTAATGTCTGCAAAACCAGCTGCTTTCAACAATTTACTTTTAACGACACTATGTCCTGAAAGTATCATTCGATTTGACACAGTCTAAATATAAAAAATATATTTTTACATATATATTTGCTTATAAAATCTAATTGGAATGGACATGGGGATATAAATAAAAGTGAAACAAATTCTTTTTTTTCACATTTGAAGTAAAAAAACAAAAAACAAAAAAAAAACTAAATCAAATTTGGTAAAGAGAACAAAACATTCATTTCACATAAAAGTGCATCTGATTCAAAATTGATCCTTAAGGCTTCTCCGTCAGGGATGTTTGGGCGAGACACACAGTATGATCTTAGGCGAAGGCAACAAAAGTCACATATTAAGGACTTTACTTTGTACTTTTTTCTGACCATAAAAAGCACTGTCTGCTTCCCTCTCACAAATAACTGATACCATGTCCATACCATAGTCCTTTATGTGTCCCTTTTTGGCACTTTGTAGGCTGAGAACACTTGTGATGCAGAAAAGCTGCAGGAGAAAGATGGCAGGCAGAAGGATAAGTCACACTGAAGCAACAGGTCGAACAAGACAGAGGAAGGTCACTTTAAAGAGGAAAAATCCACACTCAGTTCCTCTTACTGTTACATGACATCCTCATGCTTTATGCTGTACTGATTCTTTTCCCAAATGCATTAAAGCAGCTCCAGACTTATCTGGTTACTTTAACATATTAGGAAAAACTGCACTAATGATAGTGACAGTGGAGAGAGTTTTATTTTCTTTGGAGAAAGATGAGGAGGTATAATAGCTGCACAGCCCTAGTTTGTGCCTCTCATTCATTACTATTACATTCAAGTCACAGTGTGAAGCACCTGTTTCACTGAAAAATAAATTGCTGGCAATTTTTAAAAATTGCCAGGAAAAAATATTATCTTTGCTGCACAATTACAAAGATTTTAACCTGTTTTCCAGGTTGCGACTGTTTTCTGATCCAAAGGAAAGATGACAGATGGAAATGACATGTCTTTTCCTAATTTATACATAATGTGTTCATATTTTTCTTGTGTTGTACAAAAAGAGTGAGGATGTGTGTGTATCATTTCTAGTTGCAACTTAAGAAATGTGTTAAAAAATCTCCCTCTCTTATTTTTTTTTTAATCATCCACCAGACAGAATATTTTTTCATCCAGATGGTTAAAAAAAATCTTGAAGAATTCTTGAAATACCTTCAGAGCACTGGTAAGTGTTGTCAAACACGACCTGAGCTTTTCAAAGATCGCTTTGTAATTATCTTTCAAAGAAACAAATACTTAGATCTGTACCTTTAATGGTAAGACTGCACATGAGAGCCACAGACTGGAGCTAGCAGCTGCAGTGCATTATGGTCTATTGAGACCACTGACAGTGGAGAAGTTTGTGTTTTTGGCTTGGATTGCTAAACAATGTCCTTTGTCTTCTGAGGGGATGAAACCAAAACATGACTCAGCTCATTCACTACTGAAGTTTTCTATAGCTGAACATTATTTTTCCATTAAACTCCAGTGTAGCTACTCTACATGTAACTCCACGTGATATCACTCCATCTGTGTTTTACTGAGACTACACACACATGCAGCCAGAGATGCAAAGTGCATCTCAGGTAGCTTAAATAGCTTTTAACAGAGTTACAACTCTAAGGGTGGAGTTTTCTTTGTTCCAAAGCAGGAACAGAAACAGGAAGTAGTTGCAAGTTGCAAAAGTTGGAAAAAAAAGAGAGAGAACAACTTGTCCAATTAACACTGTAGTGCACCAGTGGAGTTCAACATCCACTGAGCAAACTTGAGCTTTAGGCCTGCTGTAGCTTTAAAATGTTGCTCAGCTAAATATTTAAAAGTCAAACACTTGGAGCTTCCTGGCATTTCTCAAAACTGCCCAACAAGTGAATGTAAACACAGGAGTTGATACTTTATAAAGACACAACCGGTGCATGAGCTCTGACTCAATGATGCTGCATTTGGAGTGCGGCGCATCTATGTGTTTGTATCTGACAGAGATGAACACCCCACCAGATACTTAACCTGTGTTTTGTTTCCCCCTGGTGGTGACTGCTGTATGAGCATTGGTCTTCAAAGCACTGCGTTGACTGCAGCTGTCAAACTGTCGCTTCTTTGGATTTGTGTGAGTGGACTCGGACTCTTCCCTTGAAGCATCTGCACGGTGGCTGAAGGTCAGTGGGTTTAACACTGACATCCAGGCCAGTTCGACGTCTGGTCTTCTGTTGTGGAAGCTACAGATACTGCTGAGGCTACTGTGCCGCTCTGTGGTTAAAGTTCAGAAACCAGGCAGGTTTCAGCACAGAATCTGCGAGAAGGGATGTCTGAGCAGCTCCTCAGCACTCGGCCTGTGTTTGGCCTCCACAAAAATGCACCGGATAAAGTCCCGTGCCTGGTCAGAAGTGTGCGAGGGTAACAGTGGGTTTGTGGGCTGGGTGGCGATCTTGAATATGGCTGCCATGGCCTCATATTCAGCCCAGGGAGGCTTTTCTGTCAGCATCTCCACCACTGTACAACCAAGGCTCCTGTAAAAGACATGCATGATTAGGTTGGGTTCAGTTTAATCTGTAGGTTGAGTCACATTACAAGCTGAAACAAACACCACATATCATGTCTCAGCTACTCGACACTAAACCTTTGAAGGAATGTTTTGAATGGAAACTTTCACACTTGCTGTCTGCACAGGGCCTCCTCCACCTGTTTGGGGAGGTACAAGCCCTCCTGGCAGCATTACTCCCCCTCCAGCCCGGGCTGAGAACCTGGAACATACCAACCTCTGTTACGACCTGTCTGAATGGCCTTCAGCCAATCACATCACTGAGCCTGGGGTCACCGTCCAATCAGATTGCATAAGAGAATGTTGACTACACTGTGTGGGAGAGTGTGGTAGAAACCGGGATACATACAGCGGGATCCACACTTTATTAAAAAGATCACTGTGCTTCTGTCTCTTTAAGAGTAATAAGTTGGTGTTTTCTCTTCTTTCAAACATCCACATGTCTCGTCCCGTCAGCTCCTGGGATCCTATTCACAGCCATCTTGTTGAATGGAGGTATTTCTACCCAGTCAGTGCATGTACGTATCCTTTGTCCCTGCTTCAAACTGAAGTACTTTTACTGAGAGAGTTAAAGCAGTTGGTAAAAACACACTTCCTATCAGGACGTTGCTTGTACTTAAAGTGTGAAAAGCCATGATGTCTGTGTTTGTGCATGTCAGTCACAGTTGTCTAGTTTCACTCCAGCAGCATTATCAGGTATTATATTCCCTTGCAGCAACACATGCTCCATTGTTTGTGGCAGTAGATTCTCAGAGTAGCACATTTGTCACCTACTAAATCCCATTAAGAATCTATTTATATCTCTATTTATATCTGATAGTCTCTCCTGAACTTCCTTTTCCCCCCTATTTTTATACTGTAAAATATATTTTACTTGCTGTATTTTTATTTCATCTTATTCAAATATTTACTTATTTTGTATGTGGTGGGGCGGGGGCGTTTGATTTGGTTTTTTTGTAAGCTCATCACTTAAACAATGCAATAAACAGCGATTAAAAAAACATTAAATTTATATCTTTTTTGTACATATGTCCTCATTGATAAATTTGTGAAATCTGCTCCACAGCTTTTAAAAAGGCAATTAAGGCATGCATCCTTCCTGTCACTCAAACTCAGTATACATCAGCTTCTTATTATCAAAAAAACCTATTTGCTAAAGAGGTCAAAAATATAATCATTTGCACCCTGGTTTTGTAAATCAATTCAGACTGGATTAAAATGTAGAAAACTACTAGCAATAATTTCAATTTAGAAACAACCAATAGTAATATAGATGAAGCCAGACATCTATGCAGTTGTATGACGAACTGGGATCAAAGTTTAAATGAAACTGCTGTGTATTACCAGACATCAGCCTTCCTGCCGTAGCCTTCTCCACTGATCACCTCCGGGCTCATCCAGTAGGGGGTGCCGGTCACTGAGCGGATGCCGGTGCCAGACATGCAGATGGTCTGAAGCCTCTTGCTGGCACCGAAATCTCCGAGCTTCACGTTGCCCGCTGAATCCCGCAGGATGTTGGCACCTGAGAGCCAGAGTCACACATGGGACACGTAAATATTTTATCTCAGCTATCATCTTCCACAGATGGTTAAAACCCAAACATCTCCATACCAAAACACTGTCTAAACATTTATCTGCTGTTTAAACAGTATACTGCTCGGGCCTGTGTAGTTAAACAGGACTACCTTTGATGTCCCTGTGTACGATCATGTTGCTGTGCAGATAGGACATGCCCTCCAGGATCTGTCTCGTGTACTTCCGGGTCACATTTTCTGTCAGGGCGCCATAGGCCTTCAGCTGGTCCTTGACCGATCCCTGATATAAAGAAAGCAAACACGCTTTGAGATGACAGTGCAACAACTAACAGACTGTGAAGACATGCTTGTTTAAAAACCACAAACCACAGACACAGGGAGTAAAGGAGCTGGCCTAAAATCTGGAAACTGAAAGAGGTCTGTGATCCTGGGAACAAAACTGAAAAACTAAATCAGGGAGTAAAATTTCACACACTTGTGTTTGTGTTTCCACAACATCTGAAGAGCTGTAATCAGTTTAACACATTTGTATGACACGTAAACTGATGCCAGAAAGGCAGAGACAAAGCAGCAATGATGTGCTCTATGATTAGTTATCCATGGACTCCAGGGAAACCAGCTGACTACTGGTTTAACAAAGTGCTGAGTCTTTTTTTCTAGGTTTTTTACTGTATTAGTGTAATGGTCTCTTTATGTTGCTATTTATAGACAAGTACAGAAGTTGGCTACACACTGTAACTATGGCCAAGGAACTAAACTGAAATGCAGTTCCTGTGAAATTCATCAATTCCTTAAATTATTCCTGGAAAAGTTCCTGTTGTTGGGAAGAGCCAGAAGTGTTTCTCCTCTTTAAAACTTATGAATAATTTCAGGGAGAACACAGGAAACACTTTTCTGAACACCTAAAATCCTTTTATGTTAAAACATTAAGTCATAGGTAATGTTAGCTGTCCTGTGGGTTCTTTGCTCCTGTCTTTATGTCATGCATAATTGTCTTATTAGATTCAGTGTGATGGAACACAAAGACTGAGGTGAGGGAACTGATTTTTAGATTTCAACCATTTGCTCTGAGCCCCGGTTGACCCTGTGACATGAGAGCTGCTGGGACTCACCCCCGGCATGTATTCCATGAAAATAGTGAGGGTCTTCTCATTGTGATCCCTCAGACAGCCGTAGTACTGAACGATGCGCTCGTGATGCAGATTTTTCAGCAACTGGATTTCACACTCCAGAGCGCTGACCTCCTGCACAGACACATCGAGATGCAAGGAAATTACACACCGAACATTAAAACGCAACAGCTCAGAGATTAAATATGAAAGCTGTCATGTTTGAACAGTGCATCTGTTTTCATTTCCAAACAAAATACATGTTTCAAATATGCCTAATCCCTGCAGGCTCTCTCATATCTGTTACCACTGATGACAAACAAATGTAACCATAAACACAGGGATGACAAACAGTAATCTATGACTGTGTGTGGAGTCTGCCAAAAGTGAAACCTAAAGCAGAGAGTAAATAAAAGCCAACAGTTCAGTTCCCCAAAAGAAGTTCCTGTGTTTACTTCAGAGAGTGAGGCAACAACAGAGAGAGGCACAGAGAGGCAGAGAGAGGCAGAGAGAAGCAGAGAGGGGGGGAGAGGGGGAGAGAGGGGGAAGTCAGAGACACACAAAGTAATCCCAAAGTCCCAAAACAGAAGCTGGTTTAAAAGAAACAACTGATTCACATCTGGGGGTGGGAGAGGGGTGTGTGTGTGAAGGGGTGATGGAAGGCCATGGCAACGCTGACCTGTCACCCTCCACTACCACCACAACACTTGGCTCTGACACAGATACAGGAAGTGACAGTGCATGTTTTCTCTGTGGCGGACAGGAAAAGACATTAAAATGGGGAAGAGGGGGTGGAGGGAGTAAAGATAACCTCTTCGATACAATTCTACTGAATTTTTTTCCTGCACATTGATTATGCCGTTTCTGTGTCAGAGGATAAAATAAAGTTTGTGGTTTTAACTCCTGACCTAAAACTGAGGCAAAGATGTTTCGTTTAACACGGTTAATTCATTAATCCCAGGCTCAGTCAGTTATGCAAACTACCTGCATTCCAGCATAATGGCCTGAACAGATAAACATGCACAACCGATGAGGTATTTCTTGGTGATTTGTTATTAATCAACGAATGTTTAATATCTCACTGCAAAGTTTCAAGACATGAGTCATACTGTCAAAATAGTGAGGCAATGATAGATGCCATTTCCTGACAAGAGGTAAACGTTGTGTACGTGGTGTGAGCAATAAATATTTTTACATAAATGTAGCAGGGAATCAAAAAGAGAAACTGCATATGCTGTCTCTGTGAAAACAAGGATAACTGGACTCTCTATGTAATGGTAACTAGTTAGACTCTCACCTTACTGGTCTCTGGACTGTCAGGATCAAAGTGGACTTGCTTGGCAGCCAGCTCTCTCCCAGTGTCGACATCGTAACACAGGTAAACCCGTCCAAACGCTCCCTGGCCCAGGAGCTTCCCGCGCCGCCACGTCACTGGAGCGCTGGGAGCTGAGAAAAACAAAAAACAAAACACACACACACACACACATCTGTTCATTTATGCTTTGCAGGAAATATACAACATGCCTTACATATGACAGGAAAGAGATGAAAAAGTGAAAAAGTAACATGAAAAAGTAAAAAAAAAAAAAAAAACATTACAGAATTACAAAGGAAATATTTTCACTTTTACCCTTCAACACACATTGGTCACAAGCTAAGTTTCTCCCAGCTTCCAGGCTTTACTGCTCTGGGTTTCTTTCACAAACTTTACTGACCCACCTTTTTAAATACTTTTTTTTCATCCTGCTAAAAGTGAAATCTGGTGGTAGCTGATTATCAGACACTTCAATTAAAAAAATACCAGCATTGGTTTTGGCCCTTGAACCCTGCAAAGCATCATCTATTTATCTCTTAAGAATTCATGTTATCCTAAATAGTGAAGTGTGTTTTCTAAAATCAACACTCACACTTATGGGCAACAGAGCGATCCTGAGGGCGGAGCCTGCCCTGGGCGTCGACTAGCTGCCAGCTGCCCAGACTCTCCTCGCTGCCATTGAGTGACCGGCGTGAAGGCACGAGGGTGAACAGGTTCCCCTGGGGGCGACGGATCCGTGGAAATGTTCGACGCCCTGGGGGAGATTGAGAAAGAGGCTGGCTGAGTTTAATGTCACATGAGAGAGAGAGAGAGAGAGAGAGAGAGAGAGAGAGAGAGAGAGAGAAGAAGAGGAGAGAATAAGATACCGGGTACATAGTGGCTAAATGGAGACATCTTACCTTCACTGTGGTCCTTATGATGCAGGGAGACATGGTACCTACGAGGATAGGTGCCTCCCTTTCCCGCTACCCTGTCATACACATGATTCTCCCTGTCTGAAAGCAAATATCCACAAGTCAAAGGTCAGCAGGATTACGCTGTGATTCAACCACAGTTTAGCTCATCTGCACACTGAGTCATACAGCATTCATGTGAGCGACTCTATTAGTCTCCCTTACAGCTTATACTTAACTTGCAAATACATAAGCTTTCAGCTGGTCAACACAATTTGTATAAGTTCTGTGGTGACTACAAGAAAACACTGACTATAAAGACTGGATTCTTTATCAAATCAGTTATGTTGTACCCTCGGTTTTTTTTACAGGAATGGCCGCTAATTCATCTCTCACAAATTGCAGCCAACGTAGAAATCTTCCATGGTGTCCTAGTGGTGCTACAGAAATCTGAGCGTGGTGATGTAAAAGTGCTGCATTAACGCAATGTTCTCGCATCATTACTGGGAAACTTGAAGGGTGGTGCTGTGGGAAGCATCTTTTCTTGTGACTGCTCTCACCTGAGCACTCCTGACGGTTATCAGGGTAACTTTTGGCTCTGTGCATGCGAGACTTCCTCAGCGAGGGGCTGTGAGAGAAGACAAGGAGGAAAGAAGTGTGACAGATGCTCTCGAAGTACAACTGCCATTTCATCAGACTGTATTTGGGTATTTACATCAAACAGTTTTTCGGGTTTTGAAAATGAACGGAAAAAGCAACCACTGATTGCAAAGATGTGATGGAAAAATAAAACACGTAATGAGTTCCTGTGCAGGCAGGATTTGTTCTTCACCTGTCTGAGTTGCTGTCCAGAGACTGACAACTTCCAGAGACTGAGTTCTCTGCACTGCTCCAGGGATCCAGCACCTGTGTAGGGCATAATGGAAAATGAATGATGAGTGTGCGCATGTGCTTTGTGTAAACAAGTTTCAGAAAGAAGAAACTTTTGGGAGCATGAACCCAATATTACTAAATAAGCTTTTTAATTCTGGAGATGAATTCTGCTTCTTCATAGCCTTAATCATTAACAAAAATGAATCCAAAATCCAAGAACAACAGCCAAGATACTTCCAGTGCTCATAACATTTTTAATGAGCAAAACAACTTCAGAAATCAGAAAAGGTCTTGAATCAAGCTGTTGGAGCTGAGTTGCTTATGTGAACAAATCTTAATAGTCTGAGATCACAAACACACCACAAGCATTGGATTTTCCCCATTAACTGTGAAGCTCTGACTCACACACTGATCGCTGGTCTCAGGGATGAACTCCCCCTCACTGTTTATGCTGGTGTAAGAGCCTTGGCGGGCGATCCTCTGCTGGCGCTCAGGCACATAGCCAGGAGGCGGTGAGCTACGCCCCGTGTTCTGAGAACCTGGGATTAGACAGCAGTTATGAGCATAAAGGAAAAGATTAGATATACAAAAAATAGGAATTTAAAACAATTTTTGGACTTTACAGGCCTGAGGACTGGAAAGTGTATGAAAGTGTCAGCAACAATGTGCTTCGGGTACATCAGTTGATTAAATGGCAATGTGGTAAATGCTACTTGCGCTGACAGAACAAAAGCAGCCATGCAGTAGTTAGCAGACCACACTCATGCAACTCAAACACACACCCATGCAACAGCTTTTGTGATACGGTCGTCATGAAAGGCATTCTGATTTAACAGCTGAGAACTGGGTTTAGTGTTTAGGGGCTGCTGCTGTTATGAAGTCCAGATCTCAAGCCGCTCTGCAGCCACTGTGACCCCCTGCTCCAGAGAAAGAAAAAAAAAAAAAGATCCTAAACCAGGCCACTGGTCCACCACACTAATAGAGCTCCATAATCTGATTGGCTGCTGTCCAGCAGGCATCGTCTAGTGATGGTGAACAGGAAAAGGAAGAGGACCCATTGCTAGAAGGGGAAGCCAAAGAAAGAACAGCCAGAGAGAGCGAAGGCGACAGAAAGGGAAATTGAGGTAGCAAAAAAGAAGCGGCAAAGGCACAATGACATGACAGCTACTCATAGATGAATATTTACAGAACACTGAGGCTTCTAAGAACTTTTACTTTTCCTACTCGGACACAGTGTGTGAGCCATGTTGTTGCATGTTGCAGATAAGATTAGAGAGGACTTTGAATTGCAGTTGAAGATATGTACCGGTTGATAGGTGGCGCCCTCTGGGCTCAGCGGCTTGGTACACCGTGCTGACGTCTCCGGTGGACTGGGAGGACTTGATCCTCACCTGTTTACACGGCGCATGGTGGGAGGGGGAGGAGGCCTAGAGGTGGAGACAGGAGAGGACGACAAGAGGTTTAAACACGACCACAGCACGTGATGAAACCACGGCTCCATGTCAGCAATCCAGTAATGGAAATAAATGAGGAACCTTGATTTTTTCACAATATGGCTCTGTGATGAAGAAATGGTACGCTGTAAATGCACGCCCAGTGTGTGTGTCTCACATTGCTGTGCTCCTGAGTGAGGAGCAGGATCCTGATACTCTTCATGTTGGAGCTTCGGTCCAGCAGGTCGATCGCCTTGTCCAGGTCGTCCTGACCTCGCAGAGGGATGGACAACTGCCAGGATACAAGACAAACACATTAACACTCACACAAAATCAACAATACATGTAAACAAACACAAACCAGGGCTCACAAGCATACGACGGCTGCACAAATGTTCAGTCAATACATCAGATACGGAAACACACAGACAGCAGTATACGTATATGTCAGACAAATTCACAAATCAAACACACAAACATGGTCAGAAATGTCTGTGGAGCTGACACAATTAGTTGATTAATCAGCAGCTATTTTCATAATTGATTGACATCATTTAGACTGTTGTCTTGGGTTGAAGGAAATTGGAACAATAAACTGTTTACAGTTTTACAACACAAAATCTATTTTATCCCTACAATATATTAGCCATCTCATAGGATAAACAGTTCACTGATTAACAGAGAAAATGATAAAATAAAAATTATAATCAATAACTGACATGTTTGCACACATACACAATAAACAATCAGTGTCTAAGACAGAGAGAGAGCTGAGTGAGTGGGGAGAGTCTTCACTTTACCTCGTTGTTCATATAATGCAGGTCTAACTGCTGCCCAAAGACAGTCTTAACTTTCTGCTGGATTTCCTCAAACTGCACAGGCCGCCCGAACATCAGGATCCTACACATCAAAACAGAAAAATCACACGGATACATAGACTATGAGAGAGATGAACTGGCTGCTAGGGAAACTGCTTTTGAGTTACTTGCACACGTGCAAGCAAAATACACACAGGCTGCTGTGTTTAATGAGTGCAGATTCCTCTAAGTACACCTTGCATATTTGTGGTTTGTACTGGCAGCCACAGACTAACCACAGTCCTTTCCTCCATATTATCCAGCTCACATACCAGTCTGAATTAAGTGCTGGAGTGAGTGTTTGACTCTGAGATGTGCTCTTTCTCATGAACTGGAACATGTGACAAGAGCAGCATGTGAGAGAGCGTGTTGGGGGAGTGTTTATGCTCACTCTCACTTGCATATGGATGTATACATGTATGTAGAATACCTTCACAGCACACACAGCATGCATGTAAATAAAGCCCAAAACAAACTCACCTTCTCTCTCCCGAGAACTCAAACTTTATCCTGACATCGTCCTGGGGGCAAAGCAGAAACAGGAAGTTCAAGAGGTGGACAAAGGAGGTCATCAGAGTTCATCACACGAGAAAGACTGAGCTGATATTTTAATTATTTTACCATAAACATAACTGTAAGATAAGTGGTTTTTCCAAAAGAACACAACTCAAATAGTTTGACTTGTGGGAGCTGCAGTACTTTAAGCCCGACTTGCATATGTGATGTCTTCACCTGTGGGTCTTACACAAAGATTGTTTGAAGGAAAAACACATCACTTTGTACTTTTTTCATTGCATCATCACTTCTGAAAAACCACATCCTCTCATAACAAATGCAAACTACGTTATTGAGTTAGGAAAATGGTGTAGACTATCTTCCCAGGGGTGGGGGGGGGGCATCTCTGGTTTTACCTTGTCCATGAGTTGTCTGCATTGGTTATTCTCTGCAGCTGCAGCTCAATGATACTGGTCATATGCGAGGGTGGGTGGGCTACTGGCCACTTTTCCACACAAGCAGAATATATTTTTAGAGAAGCAGTTGAAAATAACTGGATTTAATCTATTTCAGCTGAATGAGTACCATAGTTGTGGGTGGTTACTTCTCAAATTCATCTGTCATTATGCTAAATGAGGTAACTGTGTGGTCCAGCTATAATACTATAAGCAATGAGAATATACCTGAGTGGGTGATACCCAGTTACATGGTGTTTTATTATACCCGTTGTCAATAATAAAATATTCTATGGCTGACACACCCATAGTCATGCGGATAAAAAAATACTCTTGTCAGCATTTACGAACCTCATGACTTCTAAATTCAGTGTCATTCATAGAGGTCACAACTTAAAGGCTGTTGAATTTACAGCTGTGTTTAAATGGAGAGTTGAAGATTTGTGCTGTGGACAGAAGCCAGCTACGTTTATCACATTTCTATTCAGGACTTTTATTTAGGCTTTTATTTTGACGGTCAGCAGACACTCCACAATTGCGGAGGGACACTTCAACAAAACACAAGGCTCATGGAGAGACATGTGTGGGGTTGAACCTGAGATCTTTCAGGATCTTTCACCTCTTCACAACTACACTTCTGAAACCACTTCAGTTGTTTTTAAACTTAACTTTCATACTGTATTTACATGGAGAAGACCAAGACTCTGTGACAATCAAGGCTCTAGACTGAGGTAGGTCTTGATTGTCAGTGAGTCTTGGTCTTATCACTGAGTTTTCTACCTTATGTGAAACCAGGGTTCAAATCCTGGTTCATAAAGACAACTTTAAATTAGCTTTATCTTCTAAGCCATCTAGAAATTTGAATCAGCCATTCTTTCTTTAGAGCTAAATTGTGATGCACTGGTTGTTTCTGTACCTGTCTGTTGGTCTGAGCCGGTGTCTTGGGTTTGCTGTTGTCATATGACAACACAGGCTGGCGCCGCGTCATCTGAAGGGCAACCAGGTCCTTCATTATGGAGTGGAGAGCCTGTCTCTCATCTGGAGAGGATAACAAGTTGGGAAAAATACACAATTAGAGTGCAGTTTGGAAAATGGATGGTGTGAGTGTGTATGTATGACAGGAAGAGAGAGAGAGAGAGAGATACGAGCCCTTCGCACTTAGCTCTGCAATAAAAAGGTGTGTGGAGACAATTAGTCATCTTTAACTACAGCCATATTGAGACTATCCTGTGACATGGTATTAGAGTCAGGAAAGGACTGCAGTGTTTTTGATATGCCTATTCCCACGTTTGATTTCAAGGCGAGCTCTGCCTGGGCTGGACGAAGTCACGAAGAGAAAATATTCTCCTTGTGTAGCTTGGACAGACATCACACGGCCCCAGGGCAGCGGAGAGAACCAGACCCCCATCTCCACAACACTGAAAACCAATCCTTCACTCGACAGCGTCTGGAGCAGCAGCAGCTCGCACAGGCTTTGGCCTCAGGGATGGTGTTTGGTGTGAGTGTGTGTGTGTGTGTGTGTGTGTGTGTCTGTTTTTATCTCACGCTGCAAGGAAACCGTGCACTAAATGTCTGCCTAACATCAGGGTTTAGAAGACTCACTCATTGTGGCGACGTTGCGTACGTGGTCTACAAAGCCAGTCTTCAGAAAACTCGTGTCTGCTGTGCCACGGCCTGTAGTGATGAAAACAGAAACCAATTAGTAATAAGCTTGTAATAACTGAGGCTGGCATTGTTCTTGTTAATATTTCGCTGCTTGGAGACAGAGCATCAGAATGTGACTCTCTGAGTCAGACAGGAGATGACATGACCAAGGTTATCAGCTAGTCTCACAAAACCTGTCAATATGGAAATACCTCAGTCCATAAAAAGTCACCTTAGTGGGAAACATGAGAGTCATCAGAAAAAAAAGAATCACAGTATGAAGTGCAGTGTTTGGATGAAGGCTGGCATGACAAAGAGGCTGTGCCCTTACTACATGGTATCTCTGTAATTGAATTACGCAATATCATGTTTTAATGTGACGTTAAACAGAGAACCTCATTTTCATTTAAAGCACAAGCCTTTTTTCATGTTTGATTCCTTGCAGACCTAAAGGTTTTTCTGACTGAAGGCCTGAGTGAATGCAGTGCATGTGAGAATGTGTGTTGTGTGCGTTTTTTGCCCATGAGAAAGAATGACAATTGAAAACGGCTGAAACTCCAGCTACACTGGCAGAGATCAGTCTGGCACAGTTCATACGAGAAGAATGTTTTTTCTGCCATTTTAAATATCTACCAGCTTTAAACTTCTCTGATTGCACGAGCTGCAGAAACCGAACTCAGCTGTGTTATAACTCCATTGTTGATGTTAACCGGGCAATATTATCTGCCCCGTTCAAGGCGTCAACAGCATTATAAACTGAGGCATTTCCTTCAATGGAGAGGGTTTCCCTCAAATTTGTACCAATAAACCGAGGAATTTAAACTAATTCGACCAAGACGAACAAAACAGGACTTTTTGACTTTTTGTTCTTGTAACTTTGAGGTCTTTTAACATGAACTTAGTTTTCACAAATACACACACAAACAAATACTTTAGATTATGGATGAATATTTCTTGGTAAAGTAGATATGACTGACTTTTAACAAAAGCATAGAACTGGAAACAAAACCCAAAGACAATCACTTACTTATCAAATCAGCAACGCAGGGATGCACTGATCTGACTTTTTCATCCTTATTCCAGTTCCTCAACTCAGGTATCTGCTGATACAGAATTTGATCTGACACCAGTGCCCTCTTTTTCAAACATTTAAAACTTATACATACACATAAAGCTCCTTGAAAAAACCTTTTTATGTACGGTAACCTGAAGACAGGAACTTAGACAAACAAACTGCATACAGCGTGGATCTGTCACACATGGACGATATTTGATCCGCTTAACAAGATCAATATCGGCACAGATATTGTTCTGGTGAATCGGATTGCTTGATCCTCTACTATAACTATCACTGTTAGAGCACAGCATATGTTTTAATCATGCCAGGATGATAATTAAAAATTTAGTCTGACCATAAGCCACAGAGAATGATTAAACCATTACATGTTTATGTTTATCTGTCTGAGTAGCATTGATAAGGCAAATTATGTCACTTTCATACAAGATTAGCCTCTAGCAGAAATCACTGGTCAATTATTTCCCATGACAGGTTAAAAAATCATGGAAAAGAGAAAGATGTAAACATAGCAAGTCCTTCACCTTGACTTGTGCTTTACTTTACTCAGAAATACATTGTAGCAAGTCAATCAATCTACAGAGCTGTGTGGTTAGGAACTTGGTATGCCTAGAGAACCAGTGACTAGTGTATGACTATGACAAAGAAAACAGGACAACAAACAATACCAGACACTGGTACGAAAAGTGTCTGAGGATGGAGCCTCCAGAGGAGGCTGCAGTTGTCTGAGGTTTTGATTTACACAGCGAGAAGATCTGCGAAGAGAGCGGGAAACTACTTCTGTGCATGAAATGGGCACCATCAGCACCTGAGGCAACTCACTGACCCAGTGGATTTCTGGGTAATAATCACCCACAGGAATGTCGGGCACGTCCGTCTGTGGTCGGCAGAGCGTTGCCACGTTGCTTTCAAGCTTCCGCCGCTCGCATGTTGCCCTGCCAGCGGAGTAAGTGCCAAAGACTTTTGTCCTTCAACCCTGTGAGCTTCATGCTTATGGCATGAAATAGCATGGAGTTTATGAGGTGTGCAGTTCCCCCAGTAGCTGCATGAATATACAGTCACTTCAGGTAGCACAGAACCACCATCTCCTCTCTATCGAAATGTTCTCCGGTGCTGCGGACACAGGATCTGGTACTGGATCCAGCACCGTGTAAGCTTAAATTGTGTATCTCAACGGGTAGTAAACAACACACCAACTAACCTCTATGTCAAATCCCCCAACTACCCTCTTCTCTCTCCTGCTTCTGCTGATTTTAATTACCTCCCAAGTGGAATGTAGGGAATTCAATGTAGAAGGAGGCTGCGCTCTACCAGTCCAGTCAGCTGTGCCCGCTTTATTTTCCTTGTATCACATTTCCAGGACTAGCAGGATTTACATGGATTTTCCTCCCCCCTCTCCTCTCTGTCTGCTTTGAGAGGTGTTTAGTCTGAGGCTGTTTTTCCCAGCCACAGTCCTCACTCTGTCTCTGGCCAGTGATGCATCTGGCCTGAGGGCTTCACAGCAAAATCCCCTGGCCTGATGTCTCTCCTGTTTCAGGTGCACATGTGCTTTGGATTCAGGGTAACCCACCACATTTAAATATTACTGCAATCTCAACAAGCTGCTAGGACTTGCCTTGGCTAAAGTTTCAAATGTGCCTTTGTAGTGTCTAAATGCATACAGATACATTCAAATTTTTTTTTTGAAAGATAAGAAAAAGACAAATAAGACAAATGTTCAATCTCAACATGCATACTCAGTGTGAGTTTTGGAAATGCTGCTTATACTGCATGTTCAGATAAAGAAAGATAAAAGACAACGAGGACCTTCTGTGGCTCATACTTCAATCTGTTCTATTCAAATCTGACCACTTTAAGGTCAGAAAAAATAAATAAATAAAGGATCCAGTATTCCCCATCTGAATTATACACTCAGTTGGTAGTTTATAAGGCACAGAGAGCTAAAACGAATGCCATCTAATACAATAGTCCTGCAATAACTCATCCTCCATGATAGCTATAATATTTAGTTTGTGTTGAAACTGTTTCAGAGAGGTGTTAATGCAACTTTATGGTCATTTTGGAATTTCCAGTTTATGGTGCTAATGAACTGTATTGCATTATAAGGACGAGTGTTTCTATTATTTTGACCACCCTGTTTGTATCACTGAGGGTAGACTAAATAACAGAAACAACAATATGTATTACGTAATACAGTTCAACAGCACCACAAACTACATCCGACAAAATTATCGAATGTATTAGTTGAATCAACACCTCTCAACAACAATTTCAGTAAAAACATTAGCCTCTAACTTTCATGCAGGGATGATTTTGATTTATTTATGATTTACTAGGCTGTTAAACTGTCATATGAATATAAACCTTAATGTTGAGAAATTATTTTTTTGCCTCCCTAAAAGTATTTTGCATACTTTGTTTGTGTACATCTGTTGCACTGGGAGATTTGGACTCATGACCCCAGTATTTAAAAAAAACATCTTGGCTCCAGCTGTTTTCAAGCAGAAGGCTTACTTTTTCGATATGACATGAATGCAACACAATTCACTCATCATATGCCTGTCATGCCTGTCACGTGCACAGCTCACATCCTCACCTGTCGCCTTGACGACCTCGGTAAGGACAGGACCAGGCTTATCCCGCAGGGAGCCGACTCCGGTCACCGGTGTCTCGCGGCAGAGATGACGCAGTCGGTCCACCCGTTGCTCATGCCCATCGGTGTCCTCAGTCAGACCGACACACCGGTGAGTGTGTGTGTGTTTGAGGGCACCATGGCGGGGCTGACCCCCCCAGGTAACGGGGACTCGTCTTCTTCAACGGAAAGTTGGAGCAAACACACAAACGGATACTTCCAGGTTGTGAAAACAAACAGGGTCACATCAAACAGCTGTGAGTTCTGCACAGAAAATGTTCCGATGGAAAAGCCTACATCAGACCGCTCCAGCTGTGGCACAAAGACAAACTTCTGCTCCGCTGCAGCCTCGGGTCTTTGGAAAACTCAAATTTCCAAAACATTTTCAGAAGTCACGTTAGACGTCAGCGCTTCAGGCTCGTGGGACACAGAGATGTATCCAATAACAGTGTTAAATGTGGCCAGAAAACTACCAAACAAGGTGTAACAATAACCGTATGGCTTGTATGAAATCCATTTGTGAGTAACAGGTCGCCAGAGGAAAAGACCGTACGATTTCCGTGATTTTGATGGCCTCTCTTCCTGCTAAGTTTGCAGATTTTCCCTCTGTGTTGCCAGGTTTGAGACCAAAATATTCTAGACTGGAAAGATCTTTACTTTTATAATTGCACTGGATATAACTGCATCGCATTGCAACATGAGTTCGGATCTAAACATAATCATATACGAAAGGCCTATGTCTGACCTATAACAAAAGTACAGAGGAATTTGATTCAGAGAGCGACATAATTCAGACTTCAGACTTGCAGCAAAAGACGACCAAAATGACATTGGCAGAAAATAATCACTACCTATGTAGGTTTGTTACACAAAGAAAGTTGATTCGTTATGTGACGCGAAGTTGGATAAACTCCAACGATGTTTAGACTTCGCACAGCGTCGGACTCTTAAACTAAGGTTCCTGGAGCATTCACATGAAAACCAAACTTTTATGTCAAGAGAACACAGTCTTTTATCAGCGTCGCAGTCACAGAGTTGTCGCACGAAGTCTATAACCAACCACAGTCCACAACTTTCACCAACCAAAACAAAGCAAGAAATAATCTTTAACCGAATACGTCAAACTTCCTGACAGAAAAATATCGCCACCGGAACCCGCTTTTATGCTTCCAACAAGTCATGAAAACTGTACTCCAAGGTTGTATCCATGTTTTCCAAATGCTTGACTCTCCGTCGTCCAAACGTACGTAAGGACATGGATTTATTCCCAGGGGGATTTCTGATTACTAAACTATCCAAATTAGCGCCGTGCAGCCGCGGGAACGCGCTGTTACTCGGTGGAAGTCTTCCCACGAGAGCGCGCCCAATATTATTAAAGGGGCGGACCAGCAGTGACGTAGATCAGACTGATGCTGCATTCTAAACTGCCGGAAAATCGGAATTTCAGCCCTTCATCGGCTGTCTCTGCATCTAAACACAGCTTTTTGGCAGTTAGTCATAGTCAAGAAGCCCCTTTTAATCCCACTAATGGTGGAATGTATACAAGTAAATTTACTAACTGGATTTAAATGCAATTCTTCATTAGTGTATATATTACGTGAGTATTTTTCACTTTTTCTAAACTTCATTAGGCCTACATGTCACTAGTGGTGGATGAAGTATCCAGATAATTGGACAGATTAAGTAAAAGTGGCAATTATACAATAAATGAATATAAATACACCCTTAGAAGTAAAAGTCCGGAATGAAAAATGTTACTTCAATGAAAGTCCTCAAATACTGTGAGCGCAATGTACTTAAACTATTGAAGGAAAAAAATAGGGAATCGGAAAAATAGTCATAATTGATATTTTTGCAGAAAATGACCATTTCATTACTCAATAGTAATTTAATAATACAATAATTGAAATTTTTGGTGTCTTTGAGTGAAGGCGTTCAGTCATTAACCTCCCTGGTATTTAAGGATCTAGCCATCTTTACACAAATAACACACTGAAGTCAGTACATTAAATCAACACCAGCATTTTATTTTTTCTCCAAAAGCATGTAAAAAACAAAAAAGAAATGAAAGAAATGCACAAAATGATTGTGTGTATTGGCGCAGAAAGGGGGCGCTTACATTTTAAAATCTTCTATACCACAACTAAGTAATAGAGAGAAGGGAGAATGGAGGAGAAAGACTGCAAACACAGTCCAAGCGTCCTTTTGCTGTAAGGCCACCTCAATCCACACGTCAAGTCTGCAATACAGAATACATTTTCAACGATGCATACATTTAAAATGTCTCAATGACAACAGCATTGAAAAGTAAGTCCACATCAAGTTTAGCACAAAAATGAAATGACTCACAGATTTAACATTTAAAACGTTACACTGCAATCATTCACCTGAGCCTCTTGGCACCAGTGTAAAGTGTACCTTGTCTGCTCTGTTACACTTAGAAGTTGCAATTCACAGATTTTGCAGCTGTACCTTGGCGAACTGCTAACGGAGAATGACAAAGACAGCATTTCTAGATACAATACTCTTGATTTTAAAGCATTCTCAGGAATCCAGAGGACCGTTTTAAAATGAAAAAAAAGGAAAATATAAAATTTACAGTCACGCACAGTAGAATTTGAATTATTGTACATTATATGTGGATAAAAAGTGGTTAGATAGGAAAAATGGCTGCTGGTTGAATGAAGTATTTCTATGTTAAAGAGTGGGATTCGAGTAAGCAGGTCTGTTTTTGAAAAGGAATGATGAGGAGATTTCTTTGTAAAGATCTGTGCACTCAAAAGGTCTTGTTTGAAAAAGCAATACGATCAGCTATTTATTTCTAAGGCTTCTCTTTTAAAAAAGTAGCAAATATCCATCTGTTAAGTTTAGCTTTCTATTCTGCACAGCATGCTTAAATTCACAGTAAACCTTCAGTCACAAAAAGTACTTTGTGTCATTCAAGTGTCAGTCAAGTCTCAGTGGTATTCAGATATTTCCTAAAATTAGATATTTGAATGGCTTTAGACTCATTCGTCATATAGAATGAAATGCAGTTGTGGAAATCTTGCCTAACTGGATTCATTTCTCTTAGGTGGTGCAATTAAATAACATCAAAAGTGGCTGGAGTGCAGTAGCTGCACTGCAGACTGAGGCAACGCATTTAAAAACTTCAAATAAAGGCTTTGTTGAGAAGTTCTTGGGCAAAGTTATTTTTTTCATCTTTTCACGCTAGACACTACTGTCACACTTTCCCCAGCAGGGGGTGCTCCGCACTGGGTTTTGCATGCAACATGCAGGAGCACTAGGGGACCAATATTGTGACAACCCTCCATCAGCCACCTATGGTAAATTCAATAATAAGAAATAGGTCCAGGTGCTAAGATGTATTTAGCAAATAAGACATGAGATGAGAATAGGAAGGCATTTATTTAAAAAGGAAATCTGCCCACGCTTACTAGGTGGGACTTGGGGGGGAACGAATAATGATGGATGTTCAAGACACTATGATTCGATTGGATCTGTCTATGTCCCCATAAAAACTATCAAGTTATAAGAACACACTCAAATACAGCAGGAGGGAACTCATCACAAGACGCTAAGAACTGACAAGTGTGAAGTGAAGGGACAAAATTGTGTGGTGTCCTGCAAGGCTTAAGCTCTGTCCATCAACATCCTCATTTGTGGCACAGAACTATAACTGAAGTAATCAATTTAACCAGGTTTACAGCTCCGCTTAAATGTTTTAGAGAAGGATGTTTACAGGACGAGGCCTAAGTTTCCCTGTGATTATCAACATCTTGTCTGGTGATCATGTGTGGTCGCATGTGCAAGACAGTATGAGGAGGGGGAATGTTCACTAATCACAAACTATACCTCTATGTACAGATAGTATACAAAACACAACTTGAGAATTCCATTTAAATTTTGACCGTAAAAGCTCAAAGAGGATCAACCTATGCCATGACATCAATCAAATCCAAACTCAAACGCTTCTAAAAAAAACTTTAAAAAGTGATTCACTATGCATCAATGAGAAATAAAACCATTCACAACACAAAAGATCGATACAGTCATAAGATAAGGCTGTTAAGACCCAGTCATACCAACATGCAACGATAAGACTCAAACTGGTCGTCGAAATGAGAACAAACTGTGGGATGATGCGAACGATGAGAAAACCAAAGCAATCAAAAAACACGAGAGGTGAGCTGTTGCTGATGTGCGCGTTGTTTTACAGTACTCTGTACCCTGTTTGTTCCTCAAATATATGAAACCTGACCAACAGAAAAAATTGTCTCTGACAGCAAAGTCACAATACTGAGGACTATTATTTTGATTTGTGTCTTGCTAAAATCCTTGGGTGAAAATTGACCTGAGTGTATGCTCTACTGCAAATCATGGATGCGCTGTAACCCCTCTGATATGTTTGCCTGAGCATACAGTTCACATATTCCAAAAAGAAAGGGTGCAAATTTATTAAGAGAATAAAAGAGAAAAACATAACTAATTATTATTATTATTATTATTATAATACTCCCCATACCAGAGAAGGTTTTTGGTCACAATCAACTACCAATTCCAAATAGGAAATTGGAAAATAAAATTAGGAAAATACAGATATCAATAAAATCAAACCCAAACAATATCCCTAAAATTAATTTTTAATTGGTATGGATTAAGACTGGCCAGTCACTTCCTAGCTGTTTTGTGCATGTATCTGTTCTGATGGCATTTCAAAAGCAAGTGAGTGTGTGGGTGACTTAACAGAGGCCCAGCTTATGAGGCTTGTGTTCATTGTGATGTACTGGAGGTGTTAGGAGGAGGCAAAGGAAGAGGAAGGGCTGGGATGGGACACAGGGAGACATGATTATGCCGTCTTTGTTATATTGTCTGTCTCCTTGGACGCCCAGAGCTCTTTGTGCTGTTTGCGTCCGAAGCCCTCGTCGTAGTTGCCTTTGCTCTTGAACAGCTGTTGGAAATGGGGTTTGCAGTAAAATTCACCTTGAAGAGCTGCAAAGGTGCCAAGGCTGTCGGAAAAAGTGGAATTACACAGTTACATGCAAACCAAAAGGAGCCAGGAGAAGAAAAAAGTCAAGTAAAACACACATGGAAACGATGAACTGTATATAGTCACCTGAGTTTGGCGTTGCAGTGCTTGCAGCAGAAGCAGGCTGAATGGAAGACCAGGTTGTTGGCAACCAATCTCTCCATTGGGTAGACCGTCTTCTCACATGATGAGCAGACTTCCTTTTGAGTCTTAAAGCTGAAGGACTGAGCACATAAATATACAGATTTACTATCAGATACACAAACAGGAGGTGATGTAGACCTTGATCTTTAGCAACATGAAAGCTAGTTTTTACAAGAGACTCAAAACGCAAGACAGACTTCCTCTGCTCTCTTCTGAGATCAAAGGCTGATGAAAGTGAAGCGCGGCAAGAACAACACACACAGATGAACAGAGGAGCGTGAACAAGGGATATGAGAGAGAGAGAGACAGAGAGAGAGAGAGAAAGACACACACACAGACAATATATATTTACTTTAGATCGCTGGACAGGTTTCTCTTCAGTGCTTCTGGTGTCCTGGGAATGCATAGAAAAACACATAAGCAAATGTATTTCAATGTGTGTACAGACAGCTGTTATGCTCTAAAGTGAAACAACAAACATTGGGTGAAACCGATCAGATTACAAGCAACAGAAGAACTTCACAAGGATGCATTTTGTACTGTCCTCTTATTACCTTTACCAGTGTGTTAGTATTGTCAATCTGATCCCCCCCCCGCCCCCCTTCTATTCGCTCCATCTGTCTCTTTGCACCCCTGGGAGAGGATCAGGTGCCTTCTGTCTGGTCATGTGAGCCGAGCTGTGGGACACACTGCATGAAGCTGCCCTCAACATAGCAGAACAACTCAGAACCAGCTTTCCAGTTGAGAAACTTCACAAATCTCTAACTAAACAGTAGGAGATGTCTCAGTGAAACATCATGGCCGCCACCTATTCTGCCAGTCTTTATCTTTGAAATTACTGCATGTTTTTGCAGCTTTGTAATCCATGCATGTAATGAGGTATTTCTTCCACTCAACCCTACAATCAGGAGCAATTGTAGGTTTACTCTTTAATTTTCTGGCTGCCATTCAACACAGGTCACCACATTTCTCTGCACGCTGTACGTGTCGATGTTTTTGTCATATAATTGCGATTTGGTTGCCGTCGATGAACTGAAAGACTCCCGGGGCATTGAGAAGGTTAAGAGGACAGAGAAAAGCTTGCATGATCTCAAGCTGGAGGAAGATACACAGTAATAATGACAGTATCTGGCCTCTGGAGTATTGCAGCCGGTCCCCGGCAGCAACAAGCAGGGCCTCATCTTTAAGCAGGACTTACAGGTAGTTCAAGCGGATAATAAACAGACAGAGAGACATTCAGCCGCGTACACAGTGACTGCCATGGAAAAGCCAGTGTGCAGGGAAGAAGGGCAACCTCTGTTTAGGCAGGGGGAAAAGTCCACTGCAGACTCTGCTAAAACCCTGTTATGTAAGGCAGTTTGGCTGGAGCTGGAGAAAGGGGTGGATGAAGGGGGATTGTGGGGTTGCGACCAGACTTACGAAGAGAGGGAGAGCTTTGGCATCAGAGACAACTGCTGCATACTCTGTGACTTTCAAAATGTCTTGCTTTGTATGAATAAAAATAATCAAGTTGGCTGCCACAGTCATGGTAGCATGAGGTACTGTATGTGCATCCATGTCTCTCATAAAAACATTGACAAGATGACGTGAATTGAGATCAATAAGTATGTCGTGCTTACAAAAACTGCAACTGGGCTTGAAGAAAAGTGGCTAAAATACTAAAATGGTCAGGAAATTGGGGTAAAATCTTCCATCACAGTACAAGTAACATGCATGACATAATAATCAAACAGAAAAAAAGCAAATAAAAATCCAATATTGCATAAGTCTTTGTAACTTTCTCATGAAAAAAATACCAAGTATGGCCCAAATGTGGTTAATAAGAAGTACTGAAGTTAAGCATGCGGCCAGTTGCTCTTCAAAAAAATTCCATGCCATGACCAGTGCAAAATTTTCATTGAGCATTAACCACAAAACTCATGCGGACAAACAAGTCCTGCTCACGGCTGTGCAACATTGCTCTCAACCACATATATCCAGAGATATTAAAATCCTTGCTCCCACAATATAAACAATATGGGTTCACAAATTTATATCATCTTACTGTGTATGTATATATTGTCATTTCGCCTTTCCTTATCTGCACATTGTGAGCTCATCTAGAACAATTAGAGTGGCCTTCTTTGATAAGCAATCTACAACAGCACGAATGCTGCCTCTTGTGTTGTGATTTGCGTACTATTTTTGACTTTGTTGAGTGGTGCATTAAAGCAACAACAGAGTGGGATGAACAGTATGGGTGTTGTCTGCACTTACGAGAACCGGATGACATGCTTTAGAAATAATTGTCTCATTAAGTGAGGCCATGCAGCTTCCTGTAGATGCAATCAAATCTGTCTCCTCCTCATCCCTGGATCCTCTTGAGTTCAGTTAATGTTGCTGCTAACAGCTCACACTTTGCTGGTGGTGATCTAGCGGGCTGCAACCACTTCCTGTTGCTGCAGTTCAGCTGCTGAGAAACATGACTCAAAATTATTTAACACTGTTGAAAACTGTAGTTTGAATGTGTAAAGTTCGCCTGTAGAGAGGGTTTACCTCAGTGGGAGGCTGTAAGAGCATGATAATGAGGTCAACAAACTGCATTTGTACAGATGAAATCATGAAATCAACTTGGCCAAAAAAGGAAAACTGATCTGAGTGAAAGCACAGAACTGCCAATGTTTTTCTTGATAAAAAAAACAACGCTGTGAGATTAGTTACTATGTTAGGGGGTAGGCATGCATTCCAAACACACACACTGACACACACATACACAGGCATCCTGGAAGACTACAGATTAGCTTGTGCCATCTTGTCTTCTTTTACCTTATATGTACATGAGTCTCAAAAGCCACCAAACAGCACAAACATGGCAGGAAGTTGTTATGACACGTCTAGTTTCCTCTGTCTTACAGAGCCCCAGCAGCAGCAGCTCAACTCCTAACTGACTTCCATCCCAGTAAGTGACAGCTAACGACCACGTGGCCTGTATGAAAGCTTTAGAGTGCAGAGTGAATGAACTACTGGAGAACCATGATATTCAGAAACATACAACTCACAAATTACTAATTAGTCCACCTCTTGGAGTGGTGGGAAAAGAAAGGCCTCATGAGCACAGGACAAGGTGCTCAATGTAAAACACAAATACAGAAGGTCTGTTGTGCAAGTAATTAGCTCTGCTACACCCAACACTGTTTTAACTGTGAAGCGATTTGACATACCAGTGTGTGAGAAGCTAGAGCCAGCTGGAGAGTTGTATCTTACCAAACAAAGACCACTTTCACATGAGTGGGGAAATCCTTGCAACAGAGTTTCAACTCTTACCTCACAGCACCAATCCCTCACACTGAGTCCTCGCTTTGGTTTTAATCACACCTGCACATGCACGCCTGTGTGCCTTTTTTATGTTGCAATTACCCAGGAGCCTCTTTGTATATATTTGTATACATTTTTCTTTGTATTTGTTTATGAGGACTAGTTTTAGAAAGTACACTCATTTACTTTCTTTCCAAGGGTTCGATGAGAAAATCAATACCAATTTTTACATGACATTTTTACAAGCTATAAATAGGTCATTAGGGAGCTTTAAATGTGCTTGGTAGGTGGGTTTTATTACTCTTTGACAGTACCATGTCTAACCGGCTGCTGGTCACAAGAGGGATAGCAATCTTCTCATGTAACTCTTGGCAAAAAAGCAAACAAAGTACATTGAGCAAATGTCAAACTTTTCCTTTAAATACTTGCTACTGTGCAACTTCAACTGGACACTGAGGAAACACACATCCCATTTTTTTCCCCAGGGCACAGACCACCTATGTGACACAAGAGTTAAGCAACCCCCCTCAAGTCTAATCTTATTCTTTCAAAAAAAAAAAAAAAAAAAAAAAAATCAGGGAAGGATGTAATAGAATAATAAAATTTTGAGGATGTAGTTTACAAAAACATGCAACCTCAAAATATGTTTAAGTCATTCATTGTTAGGGAAGACAGCAAAACTACAAACCGCAAATTACAGTGCTTAGAGGAGATATCTGCTGATATAAATCACATTTAGACCAGCTACTCTGAAGAATAGCATTAAAGGGGGAACAAGTTCAAATTAGAAGAAGTATCTCCTCTTTATTATATTCTTTCCATCAGCACTATAAAGAAACCCTCCTTGCACTTGATCATCACTGAATACACACCGTGGTGCACGATTCACTGCAACAGGCCCCTAGAAGGGAAGGCAGGCGCTATGTTAACAAATGTCTTATGTCATTAATCCAAAACAGGGCTCACACTCTCTCATTTCTTATATTTAGAAATTGTTAAATCGTTTGGGACGGGGTGGGGGTGGGGGGGCTGAACAAATGTGAAGAACTTCATCCTTTAAACACATTAAAACAATGTTAATAAGCCTATCTATGAGTTGTCAAGCAGTTTGACGTTAAACTAATCATAACAAACAACATTTTCCAGTTCAGTACTTGCAATGTTAAGATTTTTTTTGCAGACACCATCTAACTGCGGATTGCATTTTCTTGACCTGCAAGGCATTGGCACTGATCCAACAACTAAAACTGCTGCCGCAGGGAAGATATATAGCCTGTTCTTGACAGCAACCTTCCATCAGTAACTCTGAACATGACAAGACCAAGCAAGTTATGTGGACAAGATGACTGATAAGAAAAAAAAAACAACCAAAAAAAAACACTCAAGTCTGGGGTTTGTACAAAAAAAAAAAAAAATCCCTGTGATGGAAAACTGAGTATTATCAGAACATGAGGTTTGGGGAACTGATGAAAGCAGGACCAAACTGTCTGATGGAGGTTCACCAGTCTGCAGAGTAATCACATCTGGGAGTGTGTTGGGGTGTTTGGTCAGCCACTACTTCTCTTCCCTTTTTGAACTTCCTGCATGCAATGGGAACATGACGGGGCATTCTGCCGTTTGAAGAAAAAGGGTTTTGAATGTCTGCATGTCTCTTTAGTGCACTGACAGACACTTGTTTTTTCACTTCCTGTCTGTGGTGGCTGTTGAGGTCCAGATAAAACTTCTTAAAGACTTAACCAAACATGCAGCTGCTCAATGAATGTAGGATGACAAGCACTCAAAGACTGGCCATCTTGAAAAAGGTGGAGAAATTAGAGCTGCAATTACAGATTTTTTTTAATGTTCTCAATTAATGGACAAATCATTTCGTTATAAAATGTGAAAACTAGCGATAAATGCCTGGTATAATTTCCCGAAGCACAAGATAACATCTTCAAATGTCTTGATTTATCTGACCAACAGTCCAAAACCAGAAGATATTCAGTTAACAGTGATATGAAAAGCAACAAATCCTTACATTGGAAAGTAGCAGCCAGGGAATGATTGGCAGATTTGTTTCAAAAAAAAAAAAAAAAAAGATAAAATAACAACTGTTTATTTAACTAAATCAATTAATTACCTCATTGTTTCAGCTCTACAAACAGTATTTATGAAGTTTTCTTTGTGGTTCTGTTGATTCAAAGAAGAACTAAAGCTTTTCGTTGTGCCATGCATCATTTGCATGTATCTTTTCTGAGAAGCAGGCTTTCCTTTCACATGGAAAAAAAAGTGAGATTTCACTTTCAAATAGTAGACAGCAACTTTTGCTCACTTGACCTAAGGTTCAGAACTGTAATGTCTTTCTAATCATGTTAAAAAAAAAAAAGAAAAGAAAAAGGCCTCAGTGTTTCCTTTGTCACTCCATTGAAGAAGCTGCCTCGGAGCACAATTAAAATCACTTAAATCCTCTCATAATTGTGTCAGAGATCTCTACCGGGCTAAAACATGGTCCTGGACTATCTTTTATTCATAAAATCAGATAATAATGATGAAATCATAAATCAAAGCCAACAACAAAGCACAGTGTCTCTTACTGATGCTACATCTCTCATTTTTGTCCTGTGCTCCTGAACCAAATGGGGGTCAAGTCTGTGATGTTCGTGGTTGGTAGCAGCTGGTCTGTTTATATTTTCCTCTTAAAACTGCAGAAAAAGAAGAACAAAACAAGCGGCAGCCTGTTAAAGAATGTGTCGAGGACCTGGAATCTGTGTTGACTTGACAAAAGCGAGAGGCCACTCGCTGCCGCATGCAACCTCTCTGAAAGGTTTTGAAGATACAGCCTCAAGTGTTACCATTGATCAGATGTTATCATGGACTGGTGAAGAAGAAATATTTCACAACCAAATTCTCCCTCAGGACTGGAATTCAAGACAACATGCCCTATCCTGTCTTGAAAAAAAAAAAAAAAACTCGTATGCAAATGTCTGCTTTGCCATCACAGCAAATTTCCATCACACACTCAAGGCTTCTTAACTGCGGATGGAGACAGTCGCCTGGGACAATGACACAATGACCATTTTTCCACATAAGGCCTCTTAAGTAGTAATTTCCCAAAAATTAAATATGGATCTCTTGAGTTTCAGTGCACAAATTTCCCGAAGAGCTCAACAGACTTCAGAATGTGACTTGTTGGATGTCTGCTGCTGACTGATGCTGTGGGAAACACAAAACTGTTTCTAAGCAGTCTGCCCTGTGGTAAACCAGATAACCTACATTAAAGACATCTGAGACACAGAGAAATGTGAGTTGTTTAAATCAAAAGTACATTTACTACTGAAAAGAGTTACACAGAGCTACAAATGGCACTTAGAGGAGTTTTGACAGCACTGAAAAGAAAGAAAATAAAAAATAAAGAAAAGATATGATCACAATGTCACAGAGTTTCTTATCTTCCTCTGCAGCAATTTACTGAAAATTGGCTTTTGTCATCTCACTGTCACTGATTTATTGTTGTACTGGCTAAAACATCTATTACAAACAATCTGTCTGAGATCTGATTTAAGGAATGTGTTAAGTCTTTGCCTCCAATGTCTGAGCCATAATACTTCCGTACAGGTTTATAGAGTCTAAAGTGACATTTGTATTCCCCAGAGGAGAAGAAAAAAGAGGCAAACTATAAAAGATATCTTTTTTTTTTTTCATAAAATCAACAGTTGAATGGTTTAAAAGGATGCATGCATGTACTGTGAAAAATATTGACCTCTTCTTCAGATTAACTGATTTGACTTGCAAAACTGCAACGTCCATGTGCAGCACACATCATTAAATATGAAGACATAGCGAGCAATCTGCAAAAGTATGACTCACGTTCCTTAAAATCCCACTATTAAATCACACTGAAAAACAATGTCCAACCCTTTTCAAGGCCTGAAAAAAAAGGTTCTATGTTCCTTGCTTCACACAACCACCCTCATTATGTTCCTCATTTTCAAAGCCATCTATAACTCTAACACAATAAATGATTGGAAATGGGAAATAATTGAACAGGTATGCTGCTAGTTAAAACATTTTTTCTAACCACTTTTGCCTGCAGCTCTATGGCTTGGACCTGCTGGTGACCCATTTAATACTGTTCTGAACATCTGACAGCAAGCAAACACCCTCCTTTCCCAACATATGGCACTTCTGACATGCCCAACAAATCAGGTTGTCGTGCCGTTAATGGTAATTGTTTGACTGATGAGCACATGGTCAAACAATATAAATGTTATTAGTCCAGCTTTGTGTAATGTGCTTTGTTTAAATCCGCATTATTTATTTATTTTTGGACAAACAAGTCAGTCAAATTGCAACAACAGCCTCTCAAATCCCACAGCATACTGATGTAAATCAGCCAACTGAGCAGGGTGTCAATCTGTACCGTCAACTCTGACTGAAATTACAGTCAAGGAGTCCACTGACAAGCAGGAAATGAAACTGACCATATACTTACTTAAGCCTTGTCGCCATATGCCAGGGTTATAATAACAGACTGCTGTGGATGTGGTGCCCTGGACGGATAAAAAGTGGTTTTACCAGACCACAGAGCAGCTTGTAAACTACTTGACAAAACAAACACAGGCAAGAAATTTGTATAAAGGGTAAAATGCATGTTTTCTTCCACCTGCTGTAGACTCTCATCTAATGCTGAAAATCCAGTCGTTCATCCAGTCAGGAATTAGTCATCTGACAATGACAGCAGCTGTAAGCTGCCGTGGATATTTAATGGACCATTTAGTTTCAAGTTTAAATGAGTGTGGTTACATGCAAGCTACTTTTGGAGAAACCAAGACCTATTGTGGCAGGTAAATACTTCATCCAGGTTTCTGATCATTATCCATTGGTACATAAAATGACTGAGCAGCTGAGATGTTGAGGAGGAATCATGACACACTTGAACAGACAAGATCAGAAACCTGGATTGTCACGATCATGTACACAAGGATATGAATAACCAGGTTTTTCATACTACCTGTAAATATGATATCCCAAAATACATCAACACTGGGGTAAGACTCAAAACTAGGACATTGAGTAGCATGCAAACATACTAAAGGAGATCAATATAGGAATATCTTTTGATCAGAGTGTACCATAAACTTCCCACCTCTATTGTAATAATCGTACTGTTGATTACATTCAGCAGTCTTTAAAAGTTTCTTCTGCTTTTATATTATTGTTTATTTGCTAAATTATAATAGTTTAGGTTTCTACAGTTAAATCATTTGCAAATTCTTTTTACAAAATACCTGGCTGTGTGGACTTGATTTACTACATATACCACATAACAGGCCAGCGGTAATCCTCATCTACAAATACACACATTTATCTGCTATGCCTGCTAACTGCTGCTCAAACAAAACAAAAAACGCCACATAAAATTAAACCACAAATGAATTTACAAAACTAATATGGAGGGAATTTTAAATGGACCGTCAGTACGAAAGATAGATATTCAAACTAGCACGGATAATGTGAGTTAAATGTATTATTCAATACGTTTAAATCACATAGTTTTGTTAATATTAATTAGCCATCAAGCTAGCTAACTAATAAACGTTAGAACAACCAGCACACTGCTAGCATTTTGAGGAACACGATGGCGGGCGATTGAATATCCTTTAAATAAACAAAATCTCCTCTGATGCCTAAATACTGCATTTAAATCCAAGATTAATGCCGTGGCTTACACAACAAAACCGACTCCTGGTTAGCTAAACCTTGGCGAGTGGACAGACATCATCACCTCACCTCATCTCACAAAAAAAAGAGGAGCCGGGAGGAGAGCAGCGGAGGGAGGGGAGGCTGCAGACACACAACAGCCGAGCAAAAGCACTCACCATCTGCGCTTCTTGTCTGCGACACACTGGCTGAAAAACGCAGAGTCTGTTCACTCAGTGGCTGGACGTAGATATCGGCCCTCTCATCCACTTTTCTGGGAGGCTTTGTTGCGGACGCTGGCCCCGGTGCCGGTGAGTTTCTACCCTCTGCTTCGCCCCTGATCTCGGTTTTCAACAGAACGTTTTTTTCTTCGGCAGGATGTCGCACGCTATTGGTTCTCATCTGCTCCCGATGCATTCAAGGGTTGTCGGATAAATCAGTACTACGTCTAGAACAAGAATGACACTTTCAAGCTTTTACGTAAATAGTATCCTTCTACACTAACTTTATTTAAAGAGATTCAAAGGGTAGGTTCACGATTTCTATAGTCTGTCCTAAAACAGTAGTCAGGTGCTGACAATGAAACAACGAACGTTATGCTTGATGTAATCATTCCTCCTGTTCATACGTTAAGAGATCACTTTGGCTTTCATTGTAGATGATGATGGATAAAATCCACAGTCCTTGAGCAAAAAATGTATTCAGAAGTTTATCTGAAGCTAATATGGGGCTTTAGCCATTCAAATTAATCAAATATATTCTTCCAAAGTTAAAGTGTTTTAGAACAAAATTCCCTCTTTATGGAATTATCAATGTGCTGGAGCTCAAAAACACATTTGCAGGAAACATAAAGGTGTGACTCTTGTACTAAAACAGCTTTAACTGTGGAAGATGCCCACTTGATTTGTGTAACTCAGACTGCTGAATTCTCATCGTAGCTTCACATAATCTTTTGAATGTATTTTTGCAAAGCACTTGATTTTGTACCCCATCACTTAAACTGAAAGTGCATTAGAAAGGAATCTTTAAATGGCCAGAATGACTACAGCAAGCACCTTTGACAAGAAGTAAATATACTCCCTGCAGCAAACAGCAGACATTTAAAAAAAAAGCCTTTCCTCAAATGTTAATTCACGGTTACTTTTTATTTCATGAACTTAAAAAAAGAAATTAAACCAATTGTGGCATATGCACAAGTTTGGACACCCGACTAAGTCAGTACTAAGTAGGGTGCCTTGTAAGGCATGTTTAAGATCAACCCACCGAATCTCAGTGATGTTCAGGAAAGTCTTTATAGGCTTTTTATCAATCAACTTTTAACTTATAATGTCTCAGGTTCAGCTCAGGGGACTGTCAGGGTCATTCCAAAAGCTTCAGCTTGTTACTTGAGGTAGCACATGGTGGATTTTGAGATCTGCTTTTGGACCATTCTCTTGTTGTAGAAGCCAGCCTGTTTGCAGTTTCACTTTCTTGACTGACTTTTGGATCCAGAATATGCTGATATTTAGTGCAATCAAGTTTTCCACATCCACATGTCTTCTGCAACTGGCTGCAACACAGCCACAAAGCAAAAATATGTCTTGTCATGACACTAGAGTTCACTACCCTCCACTGGTCACAGTGAGACACTATAACACTGCGTTGTATTTGTGAAGACACTGATACATCTACATCTATATTGAAAGCTCATTAATGGTGTATTGATTACAGCCAACAACAGGTACAACTATTGTTAAAAACCGTGCTATTCAGACAAGACAGTCCCAGTGCATTTTTAAAGCAGTCAGCATGTCTGTTGTTCTGCCTCATGAATTTCATGTAGACTTATAAACAATATCAAAGGCTGAAGTGAGAGCAACACCTGTACATTTGTTTTCAGTGGGCGGCACAGATTGATCGTCATAGAAAACATACAAAAATAGATGCCAAAGGAGTCTTTTTAATCAAAACTTCACATTTTCCATTTGTGAATGAACACTTGAAATCCCTCTCTCAAACAAACAAATGCATCTTCCTGAAAAACATTTCAAAAGCATAAGACAGACTAAATGCCAAGCGAAGGCACTTCACTAAAACTTGAATACAAGACACAAAAAGAGCTATACAGTTTTTGACATGTACTTGTGTGACTGTGAATCATCACTGAGCGCCTTCAAAGATGCAAAGAGTTTTCAGAGTTAGCTTTGTAGATGAACAAAAAGCAAACACACAAACACACTTGGCAAAGATCCGTTAGGAAAAGATAAATGCGTCAGGTTTGCAAGCACAAAAGCATGTTAGGAGCTCAGTGAGTAGAAACAAGACAACAACCAACACATCCTAACTTTGAATTGTTTACTGACAATAAAGATTCATTAAAGCTCTATTGCTTGATCCTATTGACTTACAATAACAACAGTCTTAATGGTGTATGTACAGTGGCTGTCTCTGAGCTGCTTTTGTTGACCTGTCTGACACACTCTGTTGAGCTCTGACCAAATCATGAGTTCTGAGCCAAGATGACAGTAGCGTCAATACACTTCCCATTTATTTAGAGTCCACAAACCCCCCCCCTCCATCCCTGTGCTTGTATCACTCTCTGATATGCTCTGCTATCTGCCTACACAGACAAGTTTGTCATGGAGCAGTTGGTTGCACATATTATTCTACTGATGTGTTTATTTTTTTCTTTAGTTGTCCCACCTGCTCTTTCTACGTTTTGGTGGTTCAGGAACAGCAAAGCTATCATCTCCTCTGTCCCTCCCCTCCCCACTCCCCCTGTCTCCCCCATCCCTGTCACTCCTTCGATCATCTCTGTCCCTCCTGCTTCCATCTCCATTGCGACTGTCGCCGTGGCGGCTGCTGCTGTAGCGATCCCGTTCCCCGTGGCGGTCGCGGTCCCTGTCTCCATGGCGATCTCGTTCACTGTAGCGGTCCTCACCGCTGTGCCGGTCGCTCCTGTCACTGTGGCGGTGGTAACTGTCCCCATGCCTCCCCCGGTCATCGCCATGTCTGTCCCGTGAGCTGTCTCTCTGTGAGGGAGGTGCAGGCGGAGGGTAGCTGTGCTGTGAACTGGTTTGACTGGTGGGCACTGAGCTCAGGGAGCCGGCGCTGGTGAAGCTGGACATTGACAAGGTGGCAGAGTGGGACCTCTCTGAGCCATTGGCAGCCTCTGTCGGCACTGAGCTCAGACTGCCGGCACTCGTCCAGCCTGACGAGCTGTTAGACTTGGTGCTGAGCTTAGGAGGGCCGCTGGATGCGGCCACAAAGTGGCTCTTATACTGAGCCTAGAAGAAGAGGAAAAGGAAACATTGAGAAGAAGAGATTAGCTGCCTGGAGGCAAAACAAGGTGTGATGAAACTTCAAAGTCAGGATTTTACTGTCTCATAACATAAAATGACCAAAATATATCTGCAAGGTGGAGATAGGACTGTTAATCCTCCTGGCCAGGTTTTAAATTTTTACATTTGAAAAGTCACTTTGCTGCCGTTTGGAAAAGACATCATTCTTAACCAATTCATCTTCTAATTTTTTTTTTTAATAATCTGCTTCAAGTGCAGTATTTACAACTGGCTAAAAGAAATATTAAGTTAATGTATAAATTAATGGTGTTTAAAAAAAAAAGAAGAGAGAATAACTTACAGCACACATACAAAGTCTATCATCAGTAGAATGTAAGAGAGCAGAATCGAAAATATACACAGTATGAAATTGTATCAAATAACTGCATCATACACTTGGTGGCAAAGAGAGAATTCTACCTGGAAGGCTTGTTTCATTGCGGACATGCGGTCTCCCATCGCCCCAGTAGCTGGTTTGCTGTAGCCCTCATAGCTACAAGTGGAAGACAACAAGCTGCTGCTGCTGCTGCTGCTGCTGCTGGTGCGATCCTGCCAACACAACAGAGCGTTACTCATCTCTCTCTGAATTTCTTCTCTGTTTTGTTCATTATTTTAAAGCACGTAGTAATCATTATGATCATGAAGAGCAGATTGACAGTCTAGTAATCAGTAACTCACAGAACTTTCAGCCCCCAGGCCTGGTCTCTCGCGGTAACCCAGACCACCTCCACCAATATTCAGCTTCTTTCCTTTACCACCCTTGAATCTGGATTTCCTAAACCATGGATTCTGAGAAAAAAAAAACATGAAGAGAGAAAAAGTTAAACTCCCATCCAGAAAGCAAAATGTTTAGACTGGTTGCTATAAACCTTTTCTGATTCTCACCTGCATGGCCAAATCCATCAGTTCTTTAGAAACAGATTGATTAGCTCCTTCCAGATTTCTCACAAGGTCTCCAGCGAATGTAGTGTCTTTGTTGGTGAGCAGAGTGTAAGCTACGCCCTTCTCTCCAGCACGGCCGGTTCGACCGATCCTGTGAGTGTGTGTGTCAATGTCTCGTGCCACGTCGTAGTTCACCACTGTGCGAATGGACGGGATGTCCAGACCACGAGCTGGGGAAAAATAAAAACAGCTTATAGCTTATACTATAAGCTTTGTTCCAAAGTTCCAGATATACCGTAGACTTAACTGTTCCTTCACAGAGCAAATGTTTGAAATGAGACACAAACAGGTTCATGTGGACGTTCAAACATAAACTGACAAAGACGGAAGGATATGGAATGTAGAAAACCTCTCCCATCTCCATCACCGCCTTGTTTTGTACTCACCAGCTACATCAGTAGCAACCAGAACGGGCAAATTCTTCTTCTTAAAGTCACTAATGACCTTGTTCCTCTCACTCTGGTCCATATCTCCATGCAGGAGCCCAATGCTGTAGCCCTCCTGCGTCAGATTAGTGGCCAGTTCTTCACAATTTGCCTTCTTGGTGACGAAGATGAGGACAGAGCCAGAAGAGGTGAACTCGACCAGCCGCCGGGTCAGCCAGGCCCATTTATCCGTCCCACTGGGCAGCAACTCCACGACCTGGGTCACATCCTCATTGGCCTGGCCAAGAGAGGAAACGTACAGGACATTAGAACAATTTAAGTGTATTTGAAAATTCTGTGTTCTTGAATTCATAATTCCACATATTTTGCGACTTTGAGAACATATTAGTCTCCTTGTGTAGCTCCAGTTCTAAATGTAAAAGCTGATTTTGTGTTGACTGCTGTGTGATGCCATATACCTCTCCAATGTCTCCCTGCACCACACGGATAGGGTCTATCAAGATGTCTCTGGCCAGCCTCTCTATCTTCTTTCGAAAAGTGGCACTGAACAGAAGAGCTGTGAAGGAAATCATACGAAACGTTTTAAAAAACGTTCTGAAGCCTCGCAACTTATGACAATGAAAAATTGTCTTAATACTTAAGGAAACCCACTCACTCTGTCTGTCTGGGCGGACATGGCTAGCGATAGATCTAACCTGATATTCTGAAAGGG